CGAAAACAGTGGCTCCCACACCCGAGACGCAATATTGCCCTAAACGATGCCGACTTAATTTTATTTTATTTTAAGGCAAGTGTTATTAACGAATGTGTTGTGTTTTTGTTAACCGATAAGTATACCATTTTGTTTTATAAAACACCAGATTTCCCACTACATGGTGGCTAGCGAAATTGCTAGGACAGTTTATAATCGACAGCGGATACATCATCCCACTTGCTTCTTAAGCAAACCGATTACTTTACGATTCAGAAAATTCACATTGAAGGATGCAAATGTTGCCAAATGGGCCAAGGGAACTGAAGCGCACAAAACACAAAACGGGACAAATTCGTGTTTTTAACGGAAACGTTCAATCACTTGTTACACGTGATTATTATTATTACCAAGGCTGTCCTTGATGTGCTTACGAACTCGAACTGAATTCGACACCCGGCGACGGCTAACATCAGTGGCGAGTGCCATAACCAGAGCCGATCTTAGCCCCCGACCCAGGCTTTCAACAACCTACAGTGACCAGCGTGGTGAAGTATGTTCAAACAACCCCCATAACAGATACAGCGTAGGAGAAAGAAGCTTTCATGCAGCAAGGGCCGAAAAGACAATTGACACCCACGATGTCTACAATATTATACGAGTGCTGTCAACGTATGACTATGATAATCCGACTACGTAGGCCGGGAGGGCCAAGATGAAGCGGACACGTGCGATTCTCCACTGCTGTACAGCAAGTACACGAACCATAACCATTCACCTATTACCCTCTTTTTTAATATCGTGGGTTTAATTAAATAGCAATTGGGGGGGCATCTTGAATTTTTTTTTCAGACTCGTAAGGTTGTCATATTTGACTCTTTATTCGTTATAGTTCAAGGAATATAATTACCCGATCAGCTTGGTGTAGATTGGCAGTCGCGATGCTCATTGTCAATGGAACCCCTCACACGCGTGTACAGTATTGCGAGTTCGTTGACAAAAGCTGGGTTTGCACGACGATTACCAATTTCAGCGATGCAAACATTAAGTTTGTTTGAATCTCACAATTAATGTTAAACGTTTACAACTACAAAAAAAATCACCGGGGTCCCTTTTCAGTTCACGCAAGCGCGGCGTAGGCCGCAAACGCACTGCGAGAGCCTGTGGCGCGCGCAGGCCAATCGCCAGCTTCCGTCAAACCGAACTAAACAGAAAAAACATAACTTCCCCAAAATAATCGGCGAACATATTTACATCGACGCGCGCCTAAGAGTCCCGCAAACAAACTAAACTAATTTAAGGATAAGTTTGTTCGTCGCCACTTCATGGATTGTCGCGGATTACGGAGCGCCCGTATGCCTGTACTCACCTCAGCCGGTCCCAATATGGAGGAAGGAAGGGGCGAGCGCGGGGGATTGTGGGATATAGGGCCCTGGATTTATTACATTATTTACCTTCTAGACACACGGTGCTTCAAACATTTTTTTTAAATTAAGCACCCCAATATATATACCACCCTCAGTGCCGGATTATCCTCGTAGCAAAAGTAGCCTCATATGCTACGGGCCCCCCCACTTTCAAGGGCCCCGCGCTAAATGCTTTCAAGCTATGAAATTCCGGTTCAGTGATTCTGCGCGTGCTCTATTACTATAGTACTATACCGCCTTCAACTTTTATGAACGACTGGGTGTTGAAGGTTAGCGATTTGTCGTATTATCTGTCTGTATAGCAAATGAAAAAATACAATTACTTTACTATGCAAGCAAATAATTACTTGTTTTAATATTTACGTTTTTTAAAAAAAATTAGGGTCCCTTTATAACATATGCTACAGGGCCTTAATCCGGCACTGACACCCCTTAAAGTTGAACAAGTAGTAAGTAGGCTCTCGCCACTAACATTATCATACCTGTAAGCCCATATGGTTTTCCCCGCATTGTTGTTGCAGGAAAATAGAAAATAGAGTGGGACATTTTGTTGTTGTTGTTTTCTTTGTGTCTATTTGCTTCTCACTTGTGATGATGATGGGACTTTGTAGGATGAACGTTGAGATTTATAAGGGCACGGGGTTGACCATTAAGGTCTGAATTTTTTGCCTGTAAGAAGGTAGGACGACTGATAAGGGGGTTGACAGGTGTGTATTATCCATAATAAAGGAGGTTTCTATTGGGTTAGGTCACGTAAATAAATGTGTCGTGAAACCCACCACCATCCGACACGGTCAATTAGGGTGTTTTCACGTGAGCAAAACATGCCAATTCGTGACTACTTCAGCACACCGGTGTGTTGGAGAGTAAAACCCACAACATTTATAGCACCCCTTAAATATTTCAACCACCTAGTACATTGTTAATACGTATTCTGTTGCGTGGCTTTGTAACATTTCAATAAAAATTGCCACAATGTAAGATTTTTTGCTATCCTAGACTTATCCTGACGTATCAGCAATGTGTAGATTACTCCAAGATATTACGGTGATTACAATTGTAATAAGAGAGCGTCATCTCCTGCATTATTGTGGGGGTTACATTACACATCATACAGTCCACGTTTTATCGATAGTAGGGATTCTATCTGGGGCAAAGGTGAATGGGCGGATCTACCATGGAAGCCTCTGGAACGTTCCCGAAGGTTCTAGAAGGGGCGTGGCCAGAGGCGGGGCTTAGCCTCCGGGGAGTGAATATAAGCCGGGGGTACAGCAACGTTTGGGGTCAGTGTGTGAAGATCAAGAGGAGCTCCCCGCCGCTGCTGCCCCGCCATCTTCACCTGCCACGTGGCAGCTCGACCTCCAGCCGCTCCCTAGCGCGCCGCCAGCCAGCGGTGCGTTGGCGAGCGGGTTGAGCGCCACGTGGCACGGGGCAGCGCAGACACGAGAGCGGGTCGACATCCGCGGAGAGAGAGAGAGAGTGGCTGTACCGAAGATTTACTAATGAATACTTGAAGTTACTTACCGTGTCGGAGCCACTCGTTACACAATTATTACTTTTATCCAACAATGTGACAAGTTTAAGCATCAAAAGGCGATTACTGCATCGAATATTGAGGGGCAGCTGTCCCAGTGGTGTATTTGGTGATGGTGCACAAACAGAATACGAATCTTTATTTATACTGGATGAATCCGATGAGCTGTAAAGCAACACTCTTTGGTTCTTTCGGTAGAGTCACGTAGAGATATCTATTTCGTGTGAGACAGCCGCATTAAAATAATGATCAGCCACAGCAGAAGTATTGGTCCTACCGTATTTCAAATCTTATGCTCACGAACACGATCCGAGACATGTCTAAGACGATGATGGTACTTTGCAAGCCTACTGGCTATCAACAAAGATTCGTTCATAAAGCCATCCATATATACAGACACAATTTCAACCGAGAGGAAGGTTATAGACTCAGCAATCATTGGAAAAATGTCATCAACCACTTTGGGTCATGACTTGTGTTTTCTTGTCAATCAACCTCCACCGTCAGCAGTGTGGTGTGTGGAGCAGGGTGTAGTGATTTCCTGGCAGCCCTTTGCTGCATTGGCATTGCTGTTGCATTGGCATTGCTGCTGCATTGGCATTGCTGCCCCGCCCATGTTGCTGGTGCTGTTGATACACTTGGGCTACGCCCATCTCCAAACCTTTAAAAACAGTTTGCCTTTAGAGGCTAACCCCTTTTCCTGATGACAACCGCTTGTGTTGCAATTGAAACGTCGTGCTATTTTTATTCACTTTATTTTATTATTCATATTCTTTGGGTCTTTCGGTAAAGTCACGTAGATAGAACAATAAATAACGAAATAGTATGAATTCCTGCAGTCACGAAAGTTTCAAGTCAAGAGCTATAAAGCTCTTTTTCACAGATGTCCACTATTGTCCAATCAATAAAACCAACTCAACACATTCGCCCGGAGCAACACTGTGCGTGCGTGACCTTAAAAGGAGAAATATATAATAGTCAACGTTTCATGCAATGGCCCTTGCTCATAGCACATGTAAATTTAAGAATGTTTGATTTACACATTGGGGAACTAGACTGAATCTACCCCCCCCCCCCCCCCCCACCGGTTCTGTCTACCGATAAGATTAAACTCCAATAATAAGAATGAATACTCAACATATATTCAAAACTCGTCTTTAATAAAGTCTCTGAGACATTATAAACACACACCATCCACCTCAACAAATAAGCACAATCATGGAATTTAACCGTTGATGCTAGGAATTCGTGCCAAACTTCAACTTAGATTTTTTTTTGCTCAGAATACAAGTGACGTCTTCACAATCTACCCCTATAAGGAACGAAACAGGAGGATTTCTTCACAAATCTGGCTGCTGCCTGACGATTACACTAGTATAGCACACCAACTCACCGGAGTGCTGTACTAGTGTAATGACCGACAATGACCTGAAGCAATGTGCCGCCTAACGGCTATTCAAAGATAAACCAAGGTCTCTGATTGGAGGAAAGAGACCTTTTCACAGGGATTGGTCAGGAGGCAGGCTTTTGAAGTGATTGGAGGAAACGTTTTGAATGAGAATAGGCGGGAAACAAAGTGGAACCCAGAGGCGATGGATTGGATCCGTTAGAGGGAAAGGACAGGGATTGGCTAAGGGAAATACACTGAGGGAACATTCCATAAAAGTAGCAGAGGGATATATAAGGGGAGAGCACGAGCAGTGGAGAGAAGATACAAGCTGGAAGACAAGCACAAAACCTAGGGTCCCTTACTGTGGGAGTCTTCAAATGAAAGTGGCTCTTTATATAACTTGTCGTCGAGTCGTTAAACTAGTAACGAATTGGCATGTTCTGTTTATGTGACAAACTCTTTGGTTTTTTCGGTAAAGTCACGTAGGTAAAATAAAATAAATGAAAACTAAATTAAATCACGATGTTTCGGAGGCAGAACAAGCCTCCGAAACGTCGTGATTTCATTCATATGTTTTCTTTTATTTAATTTTACCTACGTGACTTTACCGAAAAAAACCAAAGAGTATGAATCCTTGCAGTCACGAAAGCTCAAAATCTAAAATTACGTGACAAACTTTACGAATTGGCTGTGCCGGGTGGTGGCGGGTTTAACGACCCATTAATATGTACGTGATCGAACCCCCAAAAAAACTATATTATGGATAATATTGGTCGCGAAATCCTACGTGTTAAGCTGAACACAAGTGTACAATTTTCCTACTTTTTTTTAAAACATCACAGAGTATGAGTTTAACTTCCAGATCAAACATCACGGTGCAGTATCATGTTTCCGATCATTTCGAATTCCGCATTCGCATGACATCCAAATCTGTCTGGGTAAAGAGGGTATACAAATGTTTTAAAAGTGCAACAAGCCATGGTGTACAGTATTACAGCCTCAGTAAAATATTCCAGAGCTAGACGGCGGGAATGTAAAGTCGGTCCACACCTGGGCGATTAGTTGCGTGCAACTTGATTGCGTGCAACTTGATTGCGTGCAACTTGATTGCGTGCAACTTGATTGCGTGCAACTTGATTGCGTGCAACTGAATCGCTTGTACATACATGGACGTCTCTGCAACCGGTTGTGAGCAGTTGCACCATTGGTTGTGAGCAGTAGAGACAGACTCGACTTTCAAGTATTATTTAGAGTATTTGGCAGCTATACATTTTCACACGATAAGCCACTGCTCGTTTAGCTATCATTTGTGGCCAGGTCGCTTCTGGTAAATAGCTCTATAGCTCAGCGGGACTTACATGGAAAAATATATTTTTTGTACAAATTTTAGCACACAGTTCGATGCAAGAGTAAGAACCGCTTTTAATAGATTCATTAATACGTCTTTAAATGCTTGCAGCACATCATCTCCTGTTTTACTAAAGCTGAGCCAGTGGTGAAAATTCCTCATTCCCGTGACAAGGGCGAGCGAGTTCGTCAGTCAAGTCCCAGACTCTTGTGGTTTTCCCACAACCAGCGGTGGTAGTCTGTGAGCTTGTGGTCTTGTGGTTTCACCTGAAATCACATTGTCAGAACCATCGTCATCATCACGATCCGTTATCATCATTAGCAGCATCATCATCTTTATCATCTTTGTCAGTCTTATCAGCGGCGTCATTGGCATCATAAGGTCGCACTCATTACACACAAAGTTCTTGCCATAAATGAACCCAAATACCTTGCTGATCTCGTCAGGAAACGTTAAGCATCATGCAAAACTTCGGTTATCCACGCAGCGGCTTGTGGCTAACTGTCGAACAAAGATGGTCACCACATCGCGTGCTTTCAATTGCGCTTCTGCGGCCGTCTGGAACGCTCTCCCGATATTAGAAAGCCACTGGAGCTATGTGCTTTGAAATTTATACTGAAAACTAATTTCTTTAGAACAGTTTTTTTGTGGTTAATGTTGTCCTTCCCCGCATCTCTGATTAGCGCGTTTGGTTATGCACGGTGTGAAAGAAGTTCAACATACATCATCACCTTTGACAATATTGTTATTATCACCATCAATGTCACTTTTATTATTTCCATGAATTTAAATGTTCGTGTGCACGTAGAGCCTTCTTTGTCAATCCACTACAGGATTAGGGCCTCCCTACGCTGTGCAGGTGGTGAGAGTCATTGACCATACTTCACCGCGCTGGTCAGAGTGGGTTTGATTAAGGCGGCAACATGTACGTGGGAGCATAGAAGTACAGTTTGACAATGACTAATCATGTCCTGGTTTGTCCAGTCAGAAATTTTTTCTGAGGTTTTTGGCCACGACATCCACGTCTAAATCAGTTCAAGCCTTCCGTAAATCACGTGATTCCTGTGTGGCCACCCCCATTCTGAATCCCTCCCCTCACCCTGCCGCCCGCTATGGAAACAGACGTCACTCCTCCATGCAACTGACTGCAGTTCACTCCTTCATTTTCTTTCCCTCTCCTCTCATCATCATCCTCACCCTCTCATCCCCCCCCCCCCCAACATCTTGACTCAGTCATTCCTTCTGCTCTTCTCCCCAGCTTCCTTTCTAGGGCTCCTCCTCCTCTCTCCCTGCTACTCAACTTGAGCCATGCCCTCCTCTTCTTTGTCTTGCGGACTTCCGTCCCGGGAATCCCTTCCCTCTCCCGTCTTTTTTCCCGTACATTTCATCCTTGACTGTGCACCTCTTTGTATTTTGGGACAAAGTCAAGGTTTTTTTATTTCGTTACAAAAAAGGAAATTACACGGCAAACGTTGCCAGTCGCTGCCGATGACCTGCCCTTAAAACTTCCTCCAAGGGGGGTCTCGTGTGGCCGTGAAGCAAAGCAGCGTCGCACCTCTTTCCACTCGTTGACGCAAAAGATGCGGTAGGAGTCGTTGCCGTACTTCCCAATGCCGTGCAGCTCGATCGGATACCGCCACTTCTTCGTCAGAAACTCGCCTGGGAATTTTAAGATGGCAGTGAAAACATTGAAAAAATTTAATCTCTTATGAGACAACCGAACTCCAGCCGCCGTGGCCTCAAGTCAGTTACATTTCACTCTTTCAATTATCCGTGGGTGGATTATCAACGGTTGCGCGTGAACCTTTACCGGGCAGAAAAACTTTACGCGCGCTCGTTCGATCACTAGCTGCTCCTCACTCGTTGGGGGTGTCGGTCACACGTGACCGCAAACGTCTGCACCTCAATGAAAACGAGCGGTTTTGACAATTCCAACAAAAAAATAAAATTTAATTCTAAAATATTACAAGAAAAAACTGCACGCGTCACGAATCCTGAATGATTGTTATTGTTAAGCCCGACTCTGCTGATGAGACACTGAGTGTCGAAAACAGTCCAGAGTTTGCTTGTCTTCAAAAAAAAATTTCACGCGGCGGAGCGACGCGGAGATGTGAATGAGACGAATTGACTGCTTGTTTGTTTCCTTATGTATATCCTCCGCTACGACGTGAATTATTGTCTTGAGTTGTGCGTTTTTGCCCGGGAGCCGACTGCGCGGCCTCACGGGAGAAGCGTATGATGGCCTTGGAGCGCAGCGCGTGCAGGCCCAGCGGCTGGATGGTGCGCGCCACCTCTCGCCAATCCGCCTCCCGCGCCACCTCGGCCGACGGGAACCGCTCGAGGAACTTCCACAGCAGCGGAACCGCCTGGTGGCCTGCACCGGGATGGGGCGGGGGAGGGGTGGGGTGAATAGGGGGGGGGGGGGGGGGGGGGGGCGAGGAGGTGGCGGTGGGATGGAGGGGGTTACTTGTTTCGTATCTACAACATGGACATTATTAGCTACCCGACAGGGAAACAACTAGGCCCAAAGCTGGAAGCATGGACCTCAGTAGTGCGGCCATTATGATTTCCCTGAGAGAGACTCAGAGCCATACTCGAATGCAAGACATCAGCAGTACTAGTCTGGTGTCTCTGACACAGCCATTATGAACCCCTTGATAGAGACAGACACCCAGATCTACAACTCAAACTCAGAGCCACTTAGTTGCACCGGTAGGGAGTTCCATAACCAGGGGAGGGCGGCACCAGTAGGGAGTTTAAATACGGGGGGGAGGGACCAGTGGAGAGTTACATAACCGGGGGGGAGGGGGGGACCAATGCGGAGTTCCATAACCGGGGGGGGGGGGCACCAGTGGGGAGTTCCATAACCAGGGGGGGGGCACCAGTGGGGAGTTCTATAACCAGGGGGGGGGGGCACCAGTGGGGAGTTCCATAATCGGAGGATGAGCAACCAATGGGGAGTTCCATAACTGGAGCAGGGGGCGGGCGAAATGGTGAGTTCCATAACCAAGGGGGGGCACCAGTGGGGAGTTCCATAACCGGGGGGGGGTACCAGTTTCCTAAACGGCCATTACGTGCTACACCAGACCACCGCCCCCCCACCTCCCATCCCCACCTCCACGCCCACCCACCGGAGGTCTTGTTGAGGAAGATGGTGGCGACCAGGAGCTTCCAAGGGTCGTGGAAGAGCGTCTCCTGCACGAGGTTGAAGGGGGAGCGTGGAGGGGTCCACTTCCTCCAGGACGCCCTGTGGGGGGCGCCGAGCTCTAGGGGGCGAAACCACACAGCGAGTGGGGGGGGGGGGCAGCAGTTCCACCACGCGGTCGACCAACGGCCACGCAGTGTCTCTCAGGTCACAAGCCCCCCCCGCCGTGGGTTTTTGTGGGGTTTCTCCCACGCGTATGAACGCTCATTAATTGCCTGGCATCTTAATATACATATATGGAGGACAGCAGAGCTTGAGCAATTGTTCGTAGTGCCCGATCACTGCCTGGCTGCTGCTGCTGCCTTGCCGGTTGCCTGTGGTTCTTCCTCCCGCACTCTCTCCATTCGACGGTGAGCGGTTATGGATTACCGTGTGGCAAAGGTAAAATTCAATTTCCTGCTTGAAAGAGCAACGCGGAGGCGCCCATCTCTTGTTTACAGGCCTGAGCCAAAGGTGGAAATCCCACATTCCTATGGTGGGGGCGAGTCTTTTCGTAGAACAACCAGGGCCAAGTCAACCCGCAACCAGGATTTGAACTAAAAGCCCTCTCTCTTGATTGCGAGCCGCTCGCTCCACCGTTGAGCCAGCGGTGTCTTCCAGTCGTGCTGTGGACCGTTTTCTCTCCACGTTGTACAATGCACATTAGCGACCACGAGGGTGAGAATTAGAGACCGATTGGGCGAGTTTTGTGAGGGTGAGGGAGCGGGTGAATGAGTCGGTGAATGGGTGAGCGAGAGGTTTAATGACAACCGAGGCTGAATGAGTGAAAGTAGTAGGTAAGTGAATAGGTGCATGGGTGGGTGAGAATGAGAGACCAGGCGTTTACATCCACTACCACGGTTAGCTATGCACAGTACGAAATAAGTTCAACATATATACATCATTAGCACCATTATCACCATCACTACGACCATTATCAGCACCACCATCAGCAGCATTAGTACCATTATCACACCTCCGATGAGCACGGTTGGCTACGTACGGTGTGAAAAAAGTTCAACATGCATTCATACGTATTGGCCGAGGGAATGGGCGAGTGATAGACTCGGTAATTGTGTGCATGAATGTTGAACTTCATTGGCACCGCATCTAGCCAACTGTGGGTGAGTATGAGTAAGTGACTAACTCAGTACGTACAGGTAAGAGTGTAGAGGCGGGTGAATGAGCGAGAGGCTGAGAATGAAATTGGGAGAGGTAAAAGGTGAAAAGGTGAACATTAAGGATAACCTGAGTAACTGAGAGGGTGAATAGTTCGAGTAAATTAAACTATTTTATTTTAGCAGGTAAGGTCCCACTGAGCTGTATAGCTGTTTTTTTAGAAGCGACCTGGCCACAAATGATAGCTCAACGAAGTGGCTTATCACGTGGAAATTTCTAGCAGCCAAATACTCTAAATGCACGTTGATTCTAATTGTGGAGGGAAAAACCGGACGAGCCAGAGAAAAATCCACGCGACCACGGGGAGAACAATAAAACTCCAAATATACAGCAGCAGGCGTCAGGGTCGGGATCGAGCCCACGACCTCCTGCACACCTGGCGAGGTAGTTAACATCTCCTAGCCACCGTGCACACCCTCCTCTCACAGTAAGAGACTGAGAGTGAGCGTTGACTGAGTGAATGGGTGGAAGGCTGCGTAAAGTGACTGTACCATCGGCCTTGCGCGCACGGAAGAAGTATGGACTGGTCTTCCTCGTTCGCAAAGGACGGACACTCGCCCTCATTATCCCTGCATGCGTTCACCACGTGACACCACAGACGTGCATCACACACACACGAACATCAAACAGCACACAGACACACGCGCAGGGTTAGCTGGGCTGACTGGCAGATGCACCACCTGTGCTCCCCGCTGTGCCAACTTGCTGTGTCTTAGCCTCCTGGCGCTGTGTTCATGATCGTTGTCAGCATCGCTCCGCCCTCTTGTTGCTGGAGGGAGACTGCCTCTAACTTCTCCAGTGGCCGATCTCTCTGACACCTCTGGTACCGCTGGTATCCAGTCATCGGCAATTAAAACCAGCTCCAATTCCTCCCAATGTAATTGAAGCGTAATTTGTGATCGCGAGTTTGCCGAGGCAATTTCCACCTCCGCAGCAACCCGCGACCACTGCTCATCCTTGCAGTGCCGCATGGCTCTCCGAACCTCTGGGTGTAGACAACGATAAGCCTCCTCATGCGCGGGTATGGGATGTTGCAGGCGGTGATAAAGGGCCTGCCACTTTCTCTCGGCTAGCTGTGACACCTCCTGCATCAGCCAGAATGTTTGGGAAGCTGTGGACCACGTACCCAATGCAACCATAGCAGCTGCACGAGCCACAGTCCTGAACCTCACCCATTTCTGCTCGGCATAATGAGGGATGGGACGATGCCAAACCCCAGCTGTAAGCAGCATTGATGAAATTCTCGCTTGCAAACGTCAACAGATAGTCGACACCAAGGCATGTTGGGTTTCAATGAAGTCTTAGGTGGAGACGAACACAATTAAATGAAATAATGGCAGGTACGTGGGAGTGGGGTTTGGTCAGGAGACGTCATGGACGCCTGTCCCCTCGGAAACCACTTTAGGAGGGCTGCCTTGATTCGAACACCGTTACCTCCTCCAGCATTCTGACCGAAACCACCCAGCCGCCTCGAGATTTCGGTTTAATAAAGCATCTGAAATGGGATTTCACGACCTCGGCTAAGCAATCAATTCGAAAAACATCAACCGAGTGTTGAGCAATGATGGCTCTTCGTCTCCAACCAGATGTCATGAAGCCCGTGGTGGAAATGTTTTATTCCTCTGGCATGGCCCAGGACATGCGCACGGGACGTCTGCCGACTTCTTAAAAAGTGGCAACTCAATTTTATTGGCCCCTTTGTGGGATTCTGACGGGCCAAGTGAACACAATTCGTGGTTTAAAGTTATAACCTCGATCCCTCAAACAACACAGCGCAGCAAAGTCGTGCAATCTAATAGATTTCAAAAAAATGTTGCACGTCGGTCCAAACAGTTGACGGTATTTGGGCCAAAACAGCACAAACTTTCACAAGTAGTTTTACTCTGCGATGAGCGACACGTTGCTTCACTGCGGCGTCGGTCCTTTCATACCCGAGCAGTCAGTTGCGCAATCAAATCTCTTTAAAGTAGTCCATTTCTATTAGAAACAACCGGTTGCGCAGCAGCTCGCAATCGGTTGAAGGGATGTCCACAAAGAAGCGATTAGTTTGCTTGCAAGCAAGTTGCACACCCACACTGCTTTGGGGGAAGTACCTTGAAATGGACGATGATTGGACGCAATTAGACACGAAAATGAGAAATTAAACGTTTTAACACGCGTTCTTGTCCAGATCCACATCGCGGTATTTCGTAGGCAAATTTCAAAGCAGCACATTATAATCTAGTCCACTGCTGGATGAAGGCGTCCCCAAGCCATCAGCCACCTATCAAAATCCAGTGATGCAGCCAGTCCACCTAACAAGAGCCGATCTCATTACTGCAGCTCCTCGATTAACGAACGTCCCTTTAAGACGTGCACGCTCCTTCTCCTCTGGCTGCGACTGCCGTCGATCCTCTCCTCCTGACCATCGGACGCCACCGCCATTTGTTGTCCCTTCTAAGGTAGCGAGTGACGTGTCCAGCCCAAGTGCGCTTAATTTTTTTCCCACAAGTGTGAATTGTGACATTACAACCCACGCACATTCTCTCCAATCCACACGTTCCACTTGACGTCCCTCTCAAAGCGACGACGACCTCGTGCATTCTCTCCGAGCTCCTTGGGCACTTCACGGGCATTTTTTTTAATACTTTGCGAACGACCCGCGTTTTTAAAACCGTGTCAAAGCGGGAAGAAACGCGTTTAAAAAGTGCTCTCCCCCCCCCCTAGGCACACTTGTTACGTAGCAAAACACATCACGTGCAAAACACAACTGGATACGTTTAAAAATGTGTTTATTAGAACCCTTCAGTATTAAACAATGCTACACAGCAGTCGGTGCTACAGACACACAAAGGCAACGAGAGGGAAATGCAGGAGGTTAAAAAGTGTCCACAACAGATCTATGACATCAAAATCTTACCATTATTTCTTCAGAATTCCCCAGTTACATTCCAATTGTGCTCTCGAACATCACGTTCTTGCCGTGTTGACGCCTCAAAAAAATTCCGTTGAGGACATCTCTCACCAAGACGCCGCGATGTTTAGGGGGGGGGGGGGGGAAAATCGGACGGTTCCACGAGATATCACGCATGGCCAGCGCTAAAACCCTCTTTAACCTCTTCCAACGGCGCATGCCGCCGCTCCTTTCGCAAACTGGAACCGAATTGCTAGTCGTATGACGCTCGCCTGGCACTCAAGAGCTGGAGTAAAGAATTAAATGTACGACATTCGAAACGGGCTCGGGGCGGGACAATCACAACTCGTCGTGGGCGTTAATTCAGATTGTTTTTTTTGTTAAAAAAAATTACGAGACCGTGCATACATTTGCTTAGTTCGCAAAAAAAAACGTTGTCAAACGACGTCGATCTACACCAGTGCTCTTCATTGCAAGGCCCGCAGGCCACTGGTGGTGCCTGGTGGCCTGTAGTGCAGCCCCTTAACAAATAGTTAAAACACCCCCCCCCGTCCCGCCATCATCATCATCATCATCACGTCAAACCCCAATTTTTGCAAATGTGTGTGGCGGCCCTCACAGACCGGCTTGCGGCAAAAGTGCCCCCCCGCCCCCCCCCCCCCCCCTAAGAAAATTAATGAAACACTGATCTACGTGACTAATAGTAAAATAAGTATTTCGCGGAGTGGTAATTCTAAAATAAGGATTTCATCGTAAAAATGAGCCCGGCAGACAAGTGGGGGTTTCGACCACAACACCACGAGTTAAATTCCTGACAAAGGGTTCACACCTTGGTCCTGTCGTAAACATCAACCCCCCTGTGGTGATGGTTACAGTAGTGGCTCATGTGTTGAGATGTCACGAGTAGACGAGGCTCTGCCATGGGAACATTGATTTTCCACCATTATCTGCGGACCAGCAATAGACCAGACCATCAGTTAAAATTGAGTAGAAAAACACCGACTTAATACTTTCGTGACCGCAGGAATTCATATTCTTGGTTCTTTCGGTAATGTCACGTAGATAGAAAATAAAAATAATAAAATTTTAAATAAATTGAAAATAAAGCTTTTATTTTCAATTATTTTTTATTAAATTTTATTTTCTATCTACGTGACTTTACCGAAAGAATCAAGTATATAGAAAAACACGTTAACCTTTGTAGTAATCAAGGTTGTTTACGGTGTAACGTAACATTATTTTTGCATTTCATGATTCATTTTAGGATTCACATACACCCTCCCTTCACAAGTTGATAGCTTGTCACATTTTGGGCAAGCAATTCGATTGAACAAGGTCTTGTTTTCCCCTCATTTCATTTTTATTAAACGTTAACTTTTCAATAGCAACAACAATTTCATTTACTTATCCAGAAAAGTCTCACCCAAGTCTTAAAATTATCGGGAGAGTACTGATACATTGGGATGTTTGGCCAATTCCATTTGAAGGATGGTTCTGATTGATGTGGAAGAAACGGGAGTTAGTCGAATACCCCTTGCATAAACGATGGCAGGCAGGAGACACTTCAACGTCGGCACAAATGAGTTTGAGAATCCATCTCCTGGGACATCCTCATAGCTCAGTGGGGTTTTGGGAGTTTCGCAGCACCGTATGCGATCCACCAACCCTTGGCCTTCAAATCGCTGGACTGCAAGGTGTGCATAGCTACCTCATCCAACTCAATATATTAATATGGATGTTTCCCAACTTGTTAATCTGATAATTTAGCGTCTGTACAATGAGTTAAGACCCCAGGGCCGACCCATGACACACTGGTGGGACGATGCCACTCGGCTGGCCTGGGAATTCCCCCAGGAAGAGCGAGTCTGTCGCCAGGTAAAGGGAGGTCTGGACCGTCACTCAACATGCAGCCGCCAGCACGACCCTCATCAGGACAAGTGGACTGAGACACAAACGAACGTACAATACTGGACCTGACAATGCTCCCCGATTTCTCTGGTGGCAAACGCAAGTCCGCTTAACAACATGCAAAAGAAACACCAATTAAAGAACAGACCTCAAGTCTTGTGACGAGTTAGACAAAATATACGTAAACATCTAATCATGCTAACACAAACTCAACGCGTGAAGCAACACGCTACCCTAACAGGAAGATATCATAGGCGACGTTTCAAGCAACGGCCCTTCGTCATCGCAGTTCATCACGCCGTGTATTACATATGCATTTCCTTTTAGGGCAGGGCCATTATAGGACGCAGTGTTTTTTGTTATTTGCGATTACGAAATACTGCGAGTGCAGTCTCGCCAAGAAAATGTTATGGAATTACACTAAATGCTTATATGGGAGGGAGGGGTGGGGGAAGATTACATATCGCTCTTAAAAGATATCGTACAAGACAGCGGACAGGTGGGGGGGGGAAGTATAATTTGGCACCGAAATCTTACGATTCTGACGAACCACCACCACCACCCGCCCCCATCCACTCAAGACTTACATCGGCCATCTACACAGCTGTGGCCGCAAACTGCTAACACTCCGGATTTTGTATATACAGTACAACATCCGCCCTGCCCAATTAACTGCCCACATCCAGTGAAGCAGTCAGTAGCTGTGTGCGGGGGTGCAACGGTCGATCACAAACTGGTATTTGTAAATCTGACCTTATCGCACGGTCATGTATTCTTCAGCTAGCGTACAATCGCTTACCTCTTAAGTACAGTAAAGCATTATCCCGACTTTTCAAAGTTTGCGCTTGATTTGTGTGCAGCAACCCTAATTGCCACTAACGGCGCAAAACCTGGCAGTTTTTAAAAACGTTCACGTGACATTTGACTTTTTCACATAGCCGCCTATGCTTCAGTCCCCAGTGGGTCGGACATGCGACATTGCACTGTGAATGCTTCAAGAAAAACGCTCATTCCGTTCCAACGACGCAGTTGCCGTTCCATTCTTAAAAGATGCGGAATTAATTCCTCAAACTCTTACCCACACCACGCTACTATCCTATAGCTTAAAGCATCATCAAATACGGCGTGCGGCGGCCCTCCTCCAGCAGTGGATTGATAAAAGGTGTGTACACGGGCAGCGTATCACATCGGGGTTAGGATGCGGAATCAATCATTAATCGTGATCGGTATAAACAACGGACGCGAACTGTGTTCTGTGGAAAAAAACTCGACGTTAGTTACGTTGCGTCCACACCCGAACTATCGTTTGCGTCCAACCTGGTTGCACGCAACCGAACCGTTTATGCGCGGACGTCTCTGCAACCGATTGCTCACAGTATAGACTACTAACAACAATCGATCTGCTCAGCGAAATGATAGCAACGTATCGCATCACCACACGCTACAGTTTCTGAATTAAGCAGAAAAATTGTAAAAAAAAAATGTTACAATCCAGATATAGGTGGATGTGGAAACTAGAAAAAGGGGGGGGCAGACACTTTAAGTCACTCAGAGACGTCTTTTTGTTGTGCAACTACTCTCACACAGATGTGGACAAAGCTGCTGCGGGTGATCAGGTTGCCCGATTTCGACCGATTTGGTTGCGCAAGTGATCTCGAAAGGCGTGGACCTGGATTAAGCAGAAAATGTGACAAAATCAGTATCGTCCTTTTCCGAATTCTATCATTCAATCCGTGTCCATTTTCATCAGTATCGTCCTTACCACTGAAAAATGTACGATCAATAAAACGTCACCACCCGGGGTACAAAACCACGACAGAACCAGTTAACGCGGAAAGGTCCTTAATTTAAGCGACACAGCCGATTGTGGTGTACCTCGACACATCAATCACTTCTACATTACAGGACGTCTCCCGTACAAGGAGACCAATTTAACTCACGATTCATCAATGTACTTAACAATACCGCTGGCATACGCGCACACACACAGCAGGATGGGTAAGATAAGGAGGTGAGAGCGTGTCAAGCAGACAAAATAAAATGCTGGACTTTAGCAACAATACAATCTATCAATGCATCAACTGAAACCCCTCCCCCCCCCCAATATTCACGATTCAGGACCTCGATTCAACGGCTGCAGTTTTCTTACCATGGGGTCGGTCACATTCGACATATATACGAAATGGACATGATCAATCGCTACGCGCACGCAATTTGATGCCGATTAACCGTGAGCGATGGATGATAAATCAAACGTATCGTTACATGCCTTTACATGAGGCTTGCCGTGTGATCTCCACCAAGTCTGACCGTTTACAACACACGCAGAACACATACACAAGCTAGTCGGTCGAGGCATTAGGCCTGTAACAATTAGTGGTTCCAAAATATAACATTTCATATCAAGGTATATTTGGCCTACTCTTCGACACTAATATTGGAAGAGGTGGAAGTATTCACACGTCACCCGACCATACGCAACCCACCGATCGACTGGTGAATCAATTCACACTGCTGGGTGGACAGAGGCAGGGGGTAGCCCTAGATTAGCTTGCCAGCAACTGGTGGCCGAGGCAAACCATGCAACCAGTGCCCCCACCCCAACCCCCAAGGACAGCTCTAGGCTGAGGTTTTTTGGTAAACTGGGAAACATTTTGCCCCTATTTTCCGTTTAATGTTTTTAAGAGTATTTTTTTTAATAGAGGCATAATTATTCGGTTTGTCCATCCGTCAGTAGGTCCAACCAATACATTCTCAGAAATGTTGACAAATGAATAATTCACATTCCCTCTATGCGCACGGGGATTGAAATATCTCCGGTCTTTAATTTGTATATTTTATTTGTATTTTTTTCCTCGAATTTGGTGCCCCATTTAACATGGCACCCTAGGCGACCGCCCGAATTCGGCAATATGAACGGGCCGCCCCTGGACAGAGGCAGGGGGGGGCCCTTTAAAAGACATTGTACCAATGTATGAGATTGAATTCAAATTAATTCGATAGAAATCAATATATTAATCGTTACATGCCGAATACCCCCTAATCGCTGCACATGGACACATACCACACAACATACCAAATACACTCACACACCACACATAGCACAACACTCCACACACTAAATATACACAAAAACCCCGCACACTGCACGCGCCTCCCACACACCGAACACACAACCTGAGTGAGACCGCGATGCGTCTCTCTGCACCACTCTCGTCGCGTCGCCTACATTCTCTGCGTCGCAGCCCTCGGCGCCAGCGAGGGGCCAACCCCACGGGCAACCACCCAACCCCGCTCCTCCCTCTTCCCACCGGCGCTAAAGCCCAGCGGCTCCACCACAACATACAGGCACACGGGAGTCATCAGGCGCTACCTGGGCTTCCAACTTTCTTCGCCTCCGCTGAGGTTTCATCACCGGTCGTTTCTTCTTTGGCACCGGCACTCGGACCCCTTGTCCGCTTCTTGGGCGTGCACCGTTCGTCTTCGCGTTCATCGCTGCTCAGCACCGCCCTCTTCTTGCCGTGGTGCCACCGTGGCACCACTTCATCCTCTTGTTTGTCTTCATCATCCCCATCGTTGCTCTGCCGGGGCGCCGCCGGCTTTGCCCGCTTACGCGGCGTCATCGACGTCTCTCGGCTGCGGCTGCGGCGGCTGCGCGCCGGCAAAACTTCGGCCGTCACCGCCGCCGTCTTTCGCGACGGCGGCCGCCCCACTTTTTCCAACGATGATGCTGGCGGCGTCGTGTCTCCACCCTTCTTGGTGCCAGAGGTGGGAGACTTCCTCCGGGCGGAGGCGCGAGATTTTGGCGTGCGCGGGGTAGATGGGGAGTTCTCGGCGATGGAGGCGCGGGGACTCTTGCTCCGGCGAGTTACGCTTTTGCCTCGGGGCGAAGCAGCTCGTATCTTGGCGGCCACCGCTGCCTTTTTGCCGGTGCCGCTACTGAAGTCGAAGTCATCGGCGGAGGGCGCTGTATCGCCCAGCGTTTTTAAGAAGAGCGCCAGCTCCGGGCGCGAGCGGAACTTCCTACCACTCGGGCTGCGAGGGGGGGGGGGAAGGTTTAAATGATATATTTTTTTAAAGAGTTAATGACTTTTAAACTCAAGCAGCATCGGCACAGTATTAGAACATGCTGTGAACACTTTCTCGGTTGCTCTTTTTTGTGGCATTTGTATGTATGTTTAACTTCTTTCGCACCGTACGTAACCAACAGTGCTAATCGGACATTCAAAGCAACTGGTCACAGATGATAACGCTTCGTTGAGTTTGGTAATCCATTGGGTGGCATAAGGAGTTGCTTGATGTAGAGCATTCATAGCTCCCAAACAAGCCTACAATAGGAAGTGGCCGCTTATGTGATGAAGACTACTTCCCCACATTCAAAATAGGGAAACTCTTACTTTTAAACTGTTTAGTGAAGGAAATCGCCGCACCAACCATGCATTGCAACAACCCAATCAAGTGCAGGCAACTGAGTTGACTTATTTACTAAACTATGAACTAAACCATTTCTATTTTACCAGGTAAGGGCCACTGAGCTATAAAGCTCTTTTTTAAAAGTGCCTCGCCACAAATGATAGCTACATTTAGTGGCTTATCACGTGGAAATGTAGAGGAGCCAAATACTCTAAACGTCAGGGTCGGGATCTAAGCCACAACCTCCTCCATACCAGGCAAGGGAGTTGACATCTCGGCACTGCAGCGCAATGACTGCAGACTGAATCAAGGTAATGCTTATCAACTACTTACACGGGATGACCCAAGACCAAATGGATGACAAATGTGATAACACGAAATAATAAGCGGCCCCAACAACTGACAGACTGTGAAGGACAGGAACAAGTGGAGGAGGGGGTTTCACTTTTCTTCGTCACTCTCTGCTTCCCCGCTACCCCCCCCCGCCACCTTGCCCGCACCACACCTGAATATGTAGACGTCGTATCTGCCGGCCGTCTCTCCGGCCTGCCGCTGCATCACCAACCGGCGCCAGCCCTCGGGCATCGGTGACTCAGAAGTGTTGGCTTCGACTTTGGCTTCGGTGACTGAGCCACTACCCTCAGACTTCACTTTTTCCTCAGCGGCCTGCAAGGTAAAGGTACAGTTGCACTTATTTAAGATTCTCAAACAGATTGTTCATGTAATAACACCGTACGCACAATTGGAATGAAAATGAAGAAAAAAAGAATTACAGCGGAAGATTACCCATGCCGAAATCGTGGAACTGTTCAAAGGGAAAGTTATTAGCACTGAATGCCGTTGTCGTATTTTCCAGATTATGTTTCCATTGCATTTAAAAAGAAAGAATAGCTGAGGCTGTGTTGTCATCCAGTGGGTGTGCATGTGCGAGACCAGATTAGAATAACTTTATTGACACTGGCACAACTTTTTGGAGTGTCTTATAACCTGGAGACTATGGCAATGAAATAATACCAAGGCTTTGAATTTCCTGGACACTTTTATCCTGATTGCGCAATTAACTTGGCGCGATTTGGTTGCGCAGCTGATCTCTCTGGCGTGGACCTGCCTCTAGCATCGAGTTTGGGTGCACTGCTCAATGATGCATTTGCTTACACCAGAGATGGAAACGTCTGCATCTGTGTGCGAGCTCTTTTCTGCGGCCTGCTCTGCTCTCTTCATGGCCGCTTGCCGGGTTTCCTTGTGCTTCGCCGGTAACTTCGGCTCCCTTGACTTTTCCGATTCCTTCAGTTCCACCGGAGCTGCCTTGGGTTCTTCCACCGCCTCCTTGTGTTCTGCAGATTTCACTGGTTCTTTTTGTTGCTTTCGTTCCACCTCTTTCTTGGGTTCTGCCAATTTCACCGGTTCCTGCCGAGAGTTAGGCTCAACCACCTCCTTGTTTTCTGCAGATTTCACCGGTTCTTTTTGTTGCTTTCGTTCGACCTCTTTCTTGGGTTCTGCCGATTTTACCGGTTCCTGCTGAGTCTTAAGCTCAACCGCCTCCTTGTATTCTGCAGATTTCACCGGTTCTTTTTGCTGCTTTCGTTCCACATCTTTCTTGGGTTCTGCCGGTTTAACAGGTTCCTGCCGAGTCTTAGGCTCAACCGAATCCTTGTGTTCTGCAGACTTCACCGGTTCTTTTTTATTCTTTCGTTCTACTTCTTTCTTGGGTTCAGCAGACATTAAAGAGTCACGAGTTTTCAATTCTACCACCTTTTGTTCCGTCGAGTTCATCGGTGGTGGTTGCATTTGCTTTTGTTCCACCTCTTTCTTGGACTCTACCCATTTCATTGGTTCTTGTGGTAGCTTTCGTTCCACCTCTTTCTTGTGTTCTGAAAACTTTACAGATTCAGGTCGAGTCTTAGGAACCGCCATGTCCTTGGGTTCTGCAGATTTCACCGATTCTTGTCGTTGTTTTTGTTCTACCAGTTGCTTAGGTTCAGCCGATTTTACCAACTCCTGTGATTTATCTGATTTGGTGTCCTCCTTGGGTTTCACTGGCTGCTGTGGTTTTGAGGATCCTAGCGATTCCACAGACTTGACCGATTCATGTGAAACCTTAAAGTCTACCGACTCCTTCGATTTTGTCAGCGCCACAGGTTCCTGCGGTTTATTTGGTTCCCCCGAAACTTTTGGGTCCGTCGACTTTACCGGTTCCTGCACCACCTTGGATTCTTCCGACCGTGCTGGTTTTAATAACGGCAGCCCTTCCTGTGGTTTGTTACTCATTAATTTAGTTTCAGGTAATTTCACTGGTTCTTGCAGTCCTTTCAATTCTGCCGGCTTTGATAACGGGAGCGGTTCGTGTGGTTTGCTGCTCGTTAATTTAGGCTCCGCAGACTTGACCGCTTCCTGCCGTTCCTTCGACTCCGACGGCTCTTTCGGTTTTGATAACTCGAGCGCTTCCTGGCGTTCGTTTGGTTCTGCCAAGACTCGAGCTTCCTCCGATTTCACCGGTTTGGGCTGCTCCGGCAAACCCCCCTTCGTTGCCGACGACTCCTCGGCGCGTTTCTCCCTTTGTGGCGACGGTGCCGCCGGGACGTGTTCCGCTTTCCCAGAGCGAGCAGGAGGTTCCGGCTCACCGTTGGCGCCCGCGCCACCGATGGTGGCGACGGCCGAGCCGTCCGACGCCGAGGATGCTCCCGCAACCTCTCCACTGCTCAGCAACGCTCTACTTGCCAGACACGGTCACACAACAGAGCACACAACAGAGCACGCGGTTAGAGGGTGAGGGAAAACGCGCCGCCGAAAACACGCGCACGGGAATAAGGGAAGACATAAGATTCCCCCGTACAGCCTTAACGGAAAGCGAAGACACTTGATGTTAGCGGGCAACCATCGTATACACAGAAAACTGACGCCACGCAATAATCAGCAGTATTAATAGTGGATTGCAAGTTTACACCGCGCTTACCATTAGCAGTATTAATATATAGGACAGTACTAAACACCGTAACGTTATATTTTAGATAAAAATTCGGAGCGTTATTAATTTAACACGACTATAAAATACATTTTCCGAATTGATCATTTTCGGAATTGCTGCGATTCCTGTTCTGTACGGTACTATGTTATTAGTACCGTGTCAATAAGCATGTAGTTACTACTCATCAATAGGCATGGTCAATCCACGTGATTGACGCGTCCCTAAACATTCCAACTAATTACCTGCACACTCCCACCTCTGCGAATCTTAGTAGAATATACACTTCTCTAGGTAGTTTAACAATATACGAGACACTTTCAGTACTGTACGAGCACTGTATAATAGTATGGGGTGTTATATTCGTATTACTAGAACGCGTGTTTGAGGCATTGGGCCAACACTACGCAACTTGGGCCTAACTTAACCGAAGTACGGGTGTGCCGGGCCATTCCAATGCACGCAACAATATTATAACGTAAGAATGCCGCTGCCAACGCCGTTTATTTTCAGACGCCGTGGAACAATCTACTGCTGGATGAAAGTAATTCCCAAGCCGCCGCCGCCGCCATCTCTCGCTTCCGATCCTGCGAAACAATCCCCACGGCTCACGAGCCTCGAGCCCATTCGTATCGCCCCCGTCTCATTTACCCACGAATACCACCACCAACAACAACCACCACCCACCATTCTCCTCATAACGACAACTTTATATTACTAATGTAATGTAACGTTGGGCCATGTGCGTTTACACGCTAGGCCCGACCCCTCCCGACACGTGTGGGTCGCTATTCCAACATCACCACCACCCCCCCAACACCCCTCTCGCGGCGCGCGCCATCTTCCCCACCCACCCCTCCATCTTCCCCACCCCTCCATCATTAACCCTCAGCCGTCCTTCCGTCTCCGCCGCGGCGTTAGCGCCTCGCTCGGCTAACGGGCGAGGCCGACGGAGGGTTTGGTGGTTGTTTTGGTTTACCCGCCCGAGGCCTCCTCCGCCATCGCTTCTCCGTCCTTCGTCTGACGCCGCCGCCGCCGCCTCCTCGACTTCCCGCGCGTTTCCCGCCAACCGCCTTTGGATTTCCCACTCAGGACGCGCGAGGCGGGCGGGGCGAGCGGAGCGGGGCCCCCACGGGTCGCCCCTCCCCCATGCCGCCGCCGCCGCCGCCGAATGGACGGGGCGCCGCCGCCGCCACGTGACGCGCCGCGCGGGCCCCTGCCCATGCTCGTGCGGTGTACGAAATGAAATCTCGCGGAGGCCGTGTGCGCGTGACCGAGCCCGCGTAGTAGTCTCGCGATATTTTGCAGGGGGTTTCAGAATCTGAATATTTTTTTTTTCGACTGCAGGTGGAATCCGATGAACTATAAAGCTCTTCCCCACTACAGATGTAGAGTCAGGGGGCACGGGTTCAGAACATTACAACAAACAATACACAACTAGCCTTTTGTCCGTCTAAGGACGGGTGTATTTAAATAAATCTGAAATATTTAAAATAAAAATTGTTCAGCTCATGATTATTAATGAGGGGAGGGGTGCGGCATGTGGAGTGCGCGACCTTCTTGTGCGTTAGTGTAAATGTCCACACGGGCATGAATGTTAATGAAGGGGGGCGGGGCTCTTTTGCAGTGACGTCACGGACGGATGTAGCATTGTGCTGCGTAGATTTATTTTCACCGTCACAAGAAACGTCATATTTGAAGCGACTTTGCGTAATAGATTATTTAATTCAGTTCTACCTTCCTCTGCGTTAGTGTAAAAATCCACCCACTCATGAATATTAATGAGGGGGGCCTCATGTGGAGTGACGTCACGCAGGGGGGGTGGGACTCGTGGGGTGACGTCATGCGCGGGACGGACAGACATTTCTGGGTGATTAACACATTCCTGCGGAGGTCAGTGGCCAGGGTCAACGGCGGCACCACGTGGTGTATTCCGCAAATATGCCCGACTGTGAGGGCGGGCACAAGCCGGCGTGAGTAGGTTAAACGTTGAGTTTGATAAGGGCACCACGGGGTGACCAGCCCCTCCCCACCCAGCCCCACCCCTCCCACCCCCCACCCAGCCCCTCCCCACCCAGCCCCTCCCTACCCTCCCCTCTCCACTCAGCCCCACCCCTCCAATTTTTTTTTATATCCGAATGTCCGGATACACGTGGACAGACATCCACAGACATCCACAATTAATCCCCTGCCTCCTGTGAATTAATCCCAGTTGGGCTTCCAGTCCACTACGTTTCCTTCCAGTAATGCCCACTAGGAGCGCATTTGTTATATATCCAGGTGTCCGGATACACGTGGACAGACATCCACAGACATACACAATTAATCCCCTGCCTCCTGTGAGAATTAATCCCGGTTGGGCTTCCCAGTCCACTACGTTTCCTACCAGTACCAGTATAAATGGGCGCTAGGTGGCGATGTGTTTATATATCCGGTTGTCCGGATACACGTGGACAGATATCCACAGACATACACAATTAATCCCCTGCCTCCTGTGAATTAATCCCGGTTGGGCTTCCAGTCCACTACGTTTCCTACCAGTATTATAGTAGTAAAGAGGAGTGCAAAGTATAGGCAAGATAAACAAGTCATTAAAAATATATATACTAAAACTATTTTGTCTTACCAGGTAAGGCCCACTGAGCTATTAGCTTCTCTTCAAAGCGACCTGGCCACAAATAAGAATATTTATTCATACTGCAGTTGGAATCCGATGAGCTATAAAGCTTTTTTTCCAGCAAAAACTTCCAGGAAAAGCACCGTATGCCAACGCTGTGTGCAAAAATCCCAGTGGGATGCAAGTCAAACAACAACAACCACAAGACAACTTAGATTAAAGCCGTCAGTCTAACTCCGTACAACAAACATCTTAACACCTATTCTGGACATCTGTAAACAAATCGCTTTATCGCTCATCGGATTCCTCCAGTGGTGATCTGATTCTGACTGCTTTAAAGGGCACGAGCTATACGTTTCGAACTTTTAACTTGTTAATCGTGCAGCCTTTTCTTTTCGGGAATTAAAGACTGAATTTGTGGTTATTTAGAGATGTGTGTTTTTGTGGGTGTTGGCATCACAGCCAAACCAATGGCACTCATAAGCGCGGAGTGGGGATGCCACCTTAAATGTCTTTCCAGAGGTCAGATTTTTGCAGCGGTGAGCATCGGTGACTATAACTGTGGCGACAAGTCCCTAAATTGCACAACGGAGAACGAAGAAAGGGCTATTGCCCGAAACGTCGCCGATTCTGTCTTCTTCTTAGGCCACCGCACAGCGTTGAGAGTTCCCCAGTTGAAACCCAAGAATGAGAAAGCCCCGCCTCGCCGAATTGGTAGCGCGGATAAGCAACGCGCTGAAGATGCCGCTTGCCGATTGGCTCCAGGGAAAAAAAGGGGGCGGGGGACGGGGGTCGGTTCCCGACCAATCGGTAGCGCGGATGCTGGACATGGCGCCCTGTACGTTGTACGGGATTAGAATTGCGCCGAGTGTTACGCCGCACGTCAGTGCAGAGCTTTGTAACAAACGACAACAACAACAACAACAAAAAAACATTTAACAAATTAAACTTTAGCTTCTCGGTTAAAAGGGCCAATTAACTAAGGGTGCGGGAGAGATTAAAAGTCACCATGAGGGCCGTCCCGTCGTGGAACGACAAAGCGTACGACAAGGATAAAGCGGAGCAATGGTGAGTGGGTAGGGGGTGGGAGAGAGATGTTGACGATTAATTTAAACCTCGAGCGTAATATTGCCAGGGTCATGTAACGCGTCGTTGTAATGCATCGCTGTAATGTATCGCTGTAATGTAATCGTTGCTTAGAGCGGTAAAGCGGCGCGCCGGGTGTAGAGTTAAGAGCGCGAACGCGGTGCGGGTTGCCATGGTAACCACGACACTCAACGCGTTGGGGGCCGCGTATTTGAACGTTTCGAATGAAATTAATTTTCCAAAACGCAGATGTAAAGCGCATTCGACGTTCACTTTGCTCGACGTTTGTTTGCATTCCCACTAATAACCGTTTCGTCTCAACGGAGCCTTCGTTTTAATACCCGTGTTATTCGGAGTATGAAACGCATCGATCTTGATTTGAAGCTTTCGTGACTGCAGGAATCCATAATCTTTGGTTCTTTCGGTGAAGTCACGTAGTAGGTAGAAAAATATAATTATACCTACGTGACTTTACCGAAAGAACCAAAGAGTTTAAAACGCATCGTTGTAACGCAAGACTTCAAACAAAGTGGTGCCAAGGGGTTAATAAAGTTGTTACGCATCCGACCCCACACACATACACTCGATTTAAAACACGGTGGTGGTGGTGGGGACTGTGCTGCCATTTATCATGTGTTTATACAGTAGCTGCTTTTGTGTTAAGTTGTGTTGTCCCCCCCCAACCCCCCGCCGCACCACCGATTAGAACGGTGGGCTACGTACGGTGCGAAAGAAGTTAAACATACGTACGTACATATCATTCCACTTGTTGGACGAAGGTCACGTCGCGGCGTGCCGGTCATGGGGGTTGTTTGAGCATAATTCACCACACTGGTGAGTGGGGCGGGGAGCATAGACGTGAGATTAAACTACAGTACAACGAAAACTTCCTGCACTGACCTCCACTGCCCTACCAATGTTGGCCCGTCGCAGCCGATTTGCAATCGGTATGTGCCCATCCAAGCACTATCCAGGCCAAAACCTGCTGAGTTTCTGAGATCTTAGTGATATCGAGAGTATTGAGAGCGATTTTGTTTAGGTCGTTTTATACACGAAGGGTGCATATGACACTTCAACGACGACTGTACAAAGAACCCATCACGTTACATTTAGGTACGCACTTAAACTGCCTAAAATTACAGTTCCGAGGGTTAAAATATAAGACTGTCATTTGCCAAACGCGACTCTACTCTTTGGTTCTTTCGGTAAAGTCACGTAGGTATAAAATAAAATCACGACGTTTCGGGCGCAACACAAGCGTCCGTCATCAGGTGGGAAAGCCAAAGGCTTGTGTTGCGCCCGAAACGTGATTTTATTTTACTTTATACCGTCGTGACTTTACCGAAAAAGGGTATGGGATTCCTGCAGTTCACGAAAGCTTCAAATCAAGATACGACACTCTGTGACAGAGCCGGGAAAGTGGGAAACTGCTGCCCCTTACTTTTTGGACTTGGTCACTTGAAGGAGGTAGCTCTGTGATGATATCTGCTTCCGCAAGATGTTAGCACCGCCCTCTCAGACATCCGAGCGTGTTTTTCGTCGAATGACATTACACCAATTGCACCATCAGGTTAAAAATAAGGCGAATTGCTGCTGCGAAACCATAAGGGTTTTTTTGTCTTTCTCACCGTTCAAACTTCATCCATCATGTCAGAGCGTAGGAAAAAAAAAACATCCTTGGTATGTAGCTATAAGATAAGCACCATCAGATGTACAGTTAATTCTCCTATAACGCGTGTTTTCATAACGCGAATTGGATATAATGCAATGAATGTATTCGGGAACACATTTTTCAAAGCGGATGCGAATAAGCAGTTGTGCGGCTGCCTCGGTGTCCCATCATATAATTCAAGGCATTGGGATGCTGCTGGATGCTTCTAAATGCTTCCTACGTGCGTCCGGTCTTTGTTCAGCCTGTGTACACATCTCACGTGTTATCCCGGACTGTGCTTTACCCGAAATTATTTTTCATAACGCGGTGTTCTTCAGGAACGTAACGACTGCTTTACAGGAGAACAGACTGTATTTTCATTGACTTTTACTTCCCTTTAACAAACCACCTGTTTCCTCAGCATAAATGATTTGGCGTTCAAACCAGATGGGACACAGCTGATCGTGGCAGCAGGCACCAAGGTCCTGGTGAGTTTAGTTTCCACACTCTGTGAAGTAAAGTACAGTCTCAATACAATTGCAAGACACGTGATCATCGGCCGTGATCAGTCCACTGCTGGATGAAGGCCTCCTCAAGCCGTCACCATCCCTCACGGTCCCATGATGCAACAATCCACTGAGCACCTGAGTATGAGGCATCCCCACATTCGACATCATCTTGGGCGCATTCCCTTCTGTGGCTGCCACTCAGTCGTTATTTCTGCCCATCCGGCCATCACCCCTTTCTGGAGACGTGTCCTGCCCAAGCCCACTTTTCTTAACGGCAAATATGGTGTCTCCAGCTTGCATTTGTTCTCTGATCCATGTGTTCCGCCTTCTGACAGTATAATTCCAAGCATGCAACTTTCCATACAGTAAACCCTTGTTAATTCTACTCATAAGGGCCTCTGGCCTTGCAGAATTATCCAATATTCCGAATGATGTACAATGGTACTTCTCAGTGCCTCCTGCCCCAATATATATATAAAAAAAAATCCAAATCATTAAAAAAAACATTTTCCAAAAAGAGTAACACTTACCATCAGTAACCAGCACTACACTAACGCTCACCGTGCGCGCCACCACTAGACTGAGTAATTGTTTTGGTCGTGGAGCGGCGTCACTTTCACTTGTATGCAAAAATTGGACCATTCGGTACCGCAATTCGGCTCATGGCGAATTACTAATACTGTATATATGCTGAAAGCGCAGCCGTGCCCAATTATCCCCAATTACGAATGATCAAATACCGAAATAACGAGGTTTTACTGGACTTATTTTCCATACTTATTTGCAGTGTACACATTTCCGATCCGTGCCACATTTAAAAACTTTAACCTTCAGGCACATTGGCATGTTGCTTAGAGATAGACACGGCTGCTCAGGAATTACTAGCGACGTATTTTTACACAACTTGCACATTTGCAAACTACGATTGGTTGTTATGATCCTGATTATGGCAATTTATTCCTTTGTGGCACAGTCACTCACTCAGATGTTGACAAAGCAGGCTGCAGACCCAGCTTAAATGTTTTTCTTCTCCGAATGCTTTCCAGCAGAAATGTTTTTGTTTTGGTGCATGCGTGTGCTAGGTTTATGACACTTCGGATGGGACGCTGATACAGCCACTGAAAGGACACAAAGACACAGTATATTGCGTGGCATATGCAAAGGATGGTGAGCTGATGACAATGGTGTGATTGTAGTGATGAGGAAGATTCAGATGATTACATACTGATGGCATCATTGTGATGATGTGGCTCTGATAATGATTACGTGATTGTGATGATAACATGATCATGACGACGGCATAACTGGAATGTTGATGTGTTTGACTCATGATATAACTGTGATAATTACGATATGATCATGACATGTGATTTTGATATAATTTGTATGATGGCGACATTGTGAGGATTGCTTTGCGGAGATTGACGCCTGTGTTTCTCGCACAGGGAAACGCTTTGCCTCTGGCTCAGCAGACAAAAGCGTCATCATTTGGACGTCCAAGCTTGAAGGGATCCTCAAATACACGTAAGGACATATTATGGGTTGGTGTTGGAGGACTTCATCCAGTAGTGGATTGACAAAGGGACTGTTTTTTTATTGAGTGTGCAGGAGCCAGTATTAAGTGGGTAATGGTTACATCTCTCCGATTCAATGAAATGCACGCATATGCTTATGAAGGGAGTAGCAGGAATTGAAACTGTGACCCTGTGCTAAAATTGATAGTTAGATGGGTGGGTGATTGCAAGAGGTTTCTTATAGAGCACAGTTGCTGAGCACAGACCCAAAGGCCCAAAACACCAAGCGACCAGAAACAAACAGCACAAATTAAAGTGGTAATTGATAAGAATTTGTACATGTCTTGCCTTTAGCAAGGTCATTACATGGACTTGGAAAGAGATACAATGGGAGGGAATTCCACAGTGGAGTGGTGTGAGGGAAGAAGCAGAAAGAGGAGAGTTTTGTTGAACACAGTACGGATGAGATCAAACGGTCATTTTGGTAGACCGAGTCCTCAACATAGACAGTGAGTGAAGTTCACGGGAAAGGTAACCATGGTGGTAGCGATAGAAGAGTGATGAGGAGGTTGCCGAGTGCCTGTGAGCATGTAATTCAAGTGAATCAGTCAATGTGTCCGCTGGGTGAACTGCAGGCAAAGTGATCCTCGCACTGGGGGTTTTTACTCAAACGCCCGGTTAAAGCTTCTTGGCTTACACGGGCTTACCGTGGGTTTTCGTGTGATGCGCTTATCTTGTAACATCTGGGGGCACACGCAGCGTCCTGTGAGCCGCTTGGCAACAGCACACTTTGCCGACACGGGAAAAATAACAACGCGTTAGAGCGACTTGAGACCAATTACATTTGTAGGCTTACAAATGTATATGCACTCGCATACAGAAGCAGTGATGCACGCATGCACGCACTTAAAAACCAGGTGGGATCCTATTGAGATGAAAGTCTGTTTGGCAAGAGAGGACGTGGAGTGTCATTGAAGTGCATCGCAGGACAAACGGTCTCTGTACATAAATGGGTTTGCCGCAATTATATATCAACTCGCATATACAGTATACCAGGTGGTTCAGGGACACAGCGGTTGGCTAACAGTCGGAAGTTAAAATCCGGTTTTGGCATTAACTCTGCCCAATATCCATCTGGGGGTCAATAAATTGAGCACCACTTTGTCGGGAGGTCCTATGGATAAACTCAGCCCTGCCATAGAAATGTGAAATTTCCACCCCTGCCTCAGGGCTAAAAATTGGAGATGAGTACCACCCTCAGGGATCATTTGAGCAGGATGTCACTTTCGTATTGTTCAATTAACAAGGTCATACATGCTCACTGAGACTAGTCTGTGTCACGGGAGACCTGGGATGCAAACGGGGTCAGGTACCAGACAAAATATATCTGGGCAGATAAACAATGCAGTGTAAATTGGATTTATGGATCCTTGAATGCAACCACATCTGTGTTTCAAATAAATGTTATTTTCAGTGCTCGATAAAATATCAGTTTATTCTGCACTACCTAGCCACATACATTGATAAGGAAATAATTACTACATTGGGAGATTGATGCCCTTGAGATGCGTTACCTTTTTCCAGCCGATGAATGGAGTGGGAGAGTAAATGAACGGATGAGTGATGATTGAGTGAATGGGTAAATGAGTGATTGGATGATTAGATGGGTGGCTGGATGAGAGAATGCTTGGCGGAGTGGATGATTGGATGAGTGTGCAAATGAGTGATTTGCAGGACAGAATTAATACATAGACCGTTGACCCATTACTCAACCCCATGTCTTGGCAGGCACAATGACGTCATCCAGAGTGTGGCCTATAACCCTGTGAGCCACCAGTTGGCCTCCTGTTCCTCTAGCGACTTTGGTGAGTGCATTAGAGTTAATTTAATCCTTTCCACCACCCCTACCCCCCATTATTGGTAAGAGCACTCCGTATAACATACTTAGCACTATTCAACAAAAAAAGCATTTGACAAGCTTGACTGCTTATCAGACCCAGGTCGAATTCGTTTGAGAGTTTGCTTGCTTAAACATATGCTGCAGGATAATATTGGTCTGGAAAGCAATAGGCTGGTGGACTAAAACATTTTTATGCGGAGACAGAGGTACCCATAATGCACCACATCAATGCATAATGAGTTTCTGTACATATATGGAAGATACGAAAATAGTGTAAATAGTTGCTTTTTATAATCAAATTAGCAAATGATGAGAAAAGGCCGCCATAACAGACTAATAGTGCAGGCTTGAAAAACCATAAGAATGAAATCCGTCGACAATTTCTACATCTATATCACTGCTGCCTGTCAATCACATTTGCTCAAATTTATATTGACAGTGGCCTAAGTCAAGAGGACTGACCACAAGGCACTTTTTATGGGGTTGCTGATGTTTTTTACATAATGCATAGAGGCTGTGCTTTTTTTGCACGTGAATTGTTACCCGTCTGTTTATAGAATGCTAATGCTGTCTTTCTGTTCTATGTTTGCCAGGGCTGTGGTCTCCAGAGCAGAAGTCAGTGCAGAAGCACAAGGCTTCCAGCCGCATAACGTGCTGCAGGTAACGCCTGCTGCGGTAAAACACACGCGTGTTTTAACACGTGCTGCGGAAAAAAATATGCATGCAGGTGGTTGGGGGCATCAGAGGTCACAACACTGAGCCACCAACACCGAGACCCTTGGTTCATATCCAGGTGTCAGCCACCTGTGATTAAACCAGGTACTCAGGTGTCAAGAATTTAATGGCCATCAATTGCTGAACGAAATGCGCATCACATTAAATTGGAATTTGGAAAAATTCCAGCTCTTGAGAATTAAAATGTTGGTTTGTCATGCAGCGAACTTTCCTGTCAGTGGAAGAGCAGGTGGGAAAGTGGAGCAGAGGTCACTTGAAGGAATCTTCAGGAGTAGTTCTGTAACATGGGTCATTGTCTCAAAGGGTTGCACTAGGATTCAAAGTGACATTTCGTCTCATGGCAGGATACTGATAGCACATTTTGGATAAAACTGGTTGAAAAAACATAAAATCAAATCAGAAGTAGGTTCCACGTGAGGGGGGTTGACTGAAACATGCATACCATTGTTATCTATTACACCTTGAATATTGCCACTTGTTGCTGGCCGCTTGGCGGTTTGGTACTTTAGATGCTGTGCTCATCACCTGCAATAAAAAGTATATATGCTTCCATGTATACATGTGCCCACTATTTCTGCATCCTGTCTTGAGTATGTGGTTGCATTTAACGCAATATAACCCCACGTTTTGAATGACCGCCGTCATGCCAAGACTGCTGCGATCCTCTGCTTCCCGCTTCTCGGCTCTCCACGTCTTCTAGCTGGACCAATGACGGGCAGTACCTGGCTCTGGGGATGTTCAACGGCGTCGTCAGCATCCGCAACAAGAACGGCGAAGAGAAGGTGAAGATTGAAAGGCCAGGGGGCCACCCCGTCTGGTCCATCTGCTGGAGCCCATCGCGGTGAGATGTAGGCCGAGCCTGGCAGTCGATTGTGTCCGAGGCCGATGTCAAGGCCCGGTCACGACACGTCGCGTCGCGGGATGACATTCACTTGTGGCCAGGTGAGAGCCCATACCAGGAGACACCAGATAAGACACTAGATAAAGATATCTGGTGTCTTTTGGGTAGTGGTAGTGTAGCGGTTAGCGTGCTGCGCTATGTACCCAGCGATCCAGGTTCGATTCCCAGCCAACACCAGTGACGATTAACTGAACCGGTCCTGGGCCTCGCCTAGGTCAAATCAGCCTTAAATGAGTACCTGGTGCGGTGTGTAAACATCGCCACTGTGCAGACAATGGCGGCCGGGCGTGGTGCTGGCCACCCACCCCCTCGTGTGCCTTGTCGGCCTTCATAGGTGCTCGCTAACAGCACTTGTCCCAACATTGTGCTAAGGCTATACGAGGGATCCTTGTACAATCCTTGTACAATGTTTGAGAACCTGGATAGTGCTGCTATTCAGTGGCCTAAAATATGGCTCTAGGGTTTGGTGTTATAATTTATTTATGTAGTTTATTGTAAAAAATTCGGTCACAGTCCCTATGATCACTGTTACATTGCATATATGGCTTTTATTTTGGTGATTTCGAAAACGTTTTTTTGCTTTGGCCATGTTTTTGTTTATTGTAGTACGGAGTTAGACTGATGGCCTAAATCTTAGTTGTCTTGTGGTTGTTGTTGTTGTTTGTTTGACTTGCATCCCACTGGGATTTTTGCACACAGCGTTGGTGTACGGTGCTATTTCAGGAATATTTTGATGTTTTTTTTCCCTAGATTTTCTGTTTGCACAGTCACATAATCACTTTAAGATGTTTTCTTGTTCGTGTTTTTGTTTGTTGTTTGTTGCGGTTGCACCCCATTCAAGAGCCGAATGGCTCACAGGGCTACACCAAATGAATGGAACTATGGAACTATGATACAAACGAGGTAACAACCGTCATTGTCAGTCGCATGCCCCTGGCTGGAACGTCGCGGTCCCAACAAGACGCCGCCAGATGACCCTGTCCTAAGCACGCCGCAATGCTGAGCACAGTCTCGAAGACCGTGATGTTCGACGTTGGGCTCAACAGCGCGCGTCCACCATAACCCTGGTTTGCCCCAAGGTCAGCTGCAGTCGGCCGTTGAAGACGGTGCGTAGGGCCCCGGTGCGATATTCCGAGGCGTCCGTCCGGGCAACGTGTGGTCTATTTATATTTTGTATGTGTTTTTATGGTGTGTGCTGCTCGTAGGGAAGATCATCACGACACGCTAGCGATATCGGACTGGGGACAGAAGCTGTCCTTCTATCAGCTCAGTGGCAAACAGGTACCGTGCGGTGCAGTGGCAAGTCATTCCGTGGGCAATGACATTAATAGTTTCAATTAATGTAGCATCTCAATGCAACTGAAATTTGCAGGATTCACGAACCCCTGCCTCCAAAGCCCTGTATAACAGTTCTGCATTATCATGCCTACAAATATCACTACTGCCACCACCAACACGCCTACCACAACTATGCACACACACTGTCACCACTCAGACCACTACCACCTCACCCACCACCACCAAACGCACTACCACTAAACCACTATCACACCCATCAACACTACCACAAAGACAACGATCTCCCATATAGCCTTCACAGACTGTTGGGGTAAATGCTGTTAGCGAGCACCTATGAAGGCCGACGTCATTACCACTCCTATCACTACATCCCATCACACCCACCACAACACCCCCTAACCCTTGCATGGCTATCATCGCTACCACCACCACAACACACTTCCACTTGAGTCACGTTCACTACCAACACCACGACAAGATTGTCTTACCTTGACCACACCACCGACCACACACCACCATTTTCTCTCTATTTGCGCTCGTCACCGAGCCTGTAATTTGCACGGCCGGTGAGAATGCCGGTCTCGGGAGGATGGTGTCGCCTCTCAGCCAGTGGTATCACTCGCCTGCTGCTGCCCATGCTCGTGCTCGGTGTGGTTATGTTCGCACGTCCGATTAGCACGGTTGGCTACGTACGGTGCGAAAGAAGATCAACATACGTACATATACGCTGCTACCGGCACCGGTGGACGGAGGCGATGATGTATGTCACCCCCTGCAGATCGGCAAGGATCGCACGCTGGGCTTCGACCCGTGCTGCGTGAGCTACTTCTCCAAGGGCGAGTACGTGGTGGTGTGCGGCTCAGGCGGCCGCGCACACCTGTACACGCGCGAGGGCGTGCCCCTCGGCCCCGTCGGGGAGCACCCGGCGTGGGTGTGGAGCTGCCGCGTCAAGCCCGACTCGGAATACGTGGTGAGTGACGGAGGAGTGGGGGTGACGTGTGTATTGTATGTGTGTGCGGTTGTTGTTGTAGCGGTTAGCGCACTGCGTTACGAACCCGGCGACTCAAGTTTGATTCCCGCTCATGGCCACCAACACCAGTGACAATTACCTGAACCAGTCCTGGGCGTCCTTGAGGTTGACGCAGCCTTAAATTAATACCTGGTGCGGTGTGTAAACAATACCACGAGGGAGACAAAGGTGGTTGAGCGTGGTGCTAACCACCTACTCCCTCGTGTGCCGTGTTGGCCTTCATAGGTGCTCGCTAAGAGCACTTGCCCTTACAGTCTGTTAGGATTATATAGGGGATTGTTGTTTATTGGCATAGTTGTGCATGGTTGGTGTGGTTATGTCCTTTGGTGTAGGTATTTGTTTGTGTGTGTCTGTACTGATGCAAGGGGCTATTAAACCCCCCCCCCCCACCTTAAATGACTCACCGAAGGACCACGAGGCACAAAACCAAGCATAATACCACCAAGGGGACAGGCATCAATGATGTCCCCTGGCCAAACCCAGTAAGGGGACTGTAACCCTCCTCCACCCCCTCGGGGAACCTGCATAACCAAAAGCAATCGCCGCGGGTAACCACTTGGAACGTACAAACATCCGCTGGGGAGGAGAAACGACCCGTCATCTGTCGGGAGCTGTGCAATGCCGTGTCACGTCCACAATAAAATACGAAATATATGTTTTAAAAAATATATGATTTCGTGCATCCACTCGTTAGGCGCTGGGCAGCCAGGATGGCACGGTGTCGTACTTCCAGTTGGTGTTCAGCACGGTGCACGGCCTCTACAAGGACCGTTACGCCTTCCGCGAGAATATGACCGATGTCATTGTGCAGCATCTCATCACCGAGCAGAAAGGTGGCAAAACAACCGCACACTCTTTGTTTCATCTCGTACTGTTATTAAGTCCAACTTTGCGGCCTCCTTCGTTTGAGTGCATTGCATCGATCGCTTAGTGCGGGGGTTCACGTTTCCAATGTTTTGTTACACTCACCATCACCGGCGTGGATTGCATCGAAGTGAGGATCCGCTGCAAGGAGCTGGTGAAGAAGATCGCCATTTACCAACACCGGCTCGCGATCCAGCTGCCGGAGAAGATCGTCATCTATGAGCTGGTGTCGGACGACACCGCCGACATGCAGTACCGCGTCAAACAGAAGATCGGCCGGCGCTTCGACTGCAACCTGCTTGTCGTCTGCTCCAAACACATCATCCTCTGCCAGGTGCTGTGATGACAATGAATTATGGTAATGTAATGATGATAACGATGATGATGATGACAATGATGATTAACCCTGGCTGAGCCGCGTTTCTCCATAGCCACGTTAAATTAGTTTTTTTTTACAAGCGATAACGTTTTCTCAGGACGTGAAATATATATAAAAGGTGGGTAAAGGGTCCTATTGGGGTGCCTTCAGAAGTAGTTCTGGGATGCCGTTCTCCGAGGCCATCCTCCAACACAATACTAGCTGCACGAGTTCCTCATGGGAATGTCTTTGTCTTGCTACGTGACACCGATGACACACTTTGAATATACATTTATTTTTCTACATGTGAAGAGGTCATTTTGGGCAATGGCACTTGTACCATACCTTGACCGATGCTCAAATCTTTCCTGAATCATCACGAGGTTATTATAATTCCAATTACAGATAATCTCGGCATTTATCCAGTCAACTTAAAGTTGCTGTGCTAATACTGACCTGCAAAGGAAATGACCTATATATTAAAGGTGCTGTATTCAGAGCTACAATTTTAACTGACCTCATTTACTTTAACAGAGACCTATGCATTAAAGTAACCTCATTCACTTTGATTGAGACCGGAGCAGTTTTCGAAAAACAGCAGTCTTGATTGGCGGCCACCATACTAAAAAATGTTAAGAACTACTGCACGAACCCATGTCCTGATTTGACCCTGAACCTCTTCGTAACCCTACACAACAGGGGCTCTACATGTATGTATGTATGTTGAGCCTCTTTTGCACCGCACGTAGCCATTCGTGCTAATGTACATGAATGGGCCTTGACCCGGCCAAGTAAAGAAGGCTGATGATCAAAGAGTGTCATTGACGTCTATATCAAAACATTTCTCACATGAACCAGGAAAGGGTGCGGCTGCACTTGACCCCATGACCTCCTGACCCCTCCACCCCTCCCCCATCCCCGTACTTCATCACTCCCAGGAGAAGCGGCTGCAGTGCCTGACTTTTGGCGGCCTGAAGGAGCGTGAATGGGTGATGGAGTCACTAATCCGGTACATCAAGGTGATCGGCGGCCCCGCGGGGAGAGAGGGGCTGCTCGTGGGCCTCAAGAACGGACAGGTAAGGACGATGGTACCACTGCTGGACGTCTGAAAAAGAGCTTCATAGCTCATCGGATTCCTCAAGTGTAAATACATATTCTGATGATTCTGAACTCCTAATGAGCATCAGAATCTTTATTTATCTTGGAGAAATCCGATAACCTGTGAAGCTCTTTTTCACAGACGTCCAATAGAGGTGGGTCAGAAAGTTACAACAAACTACCAAAAAAATTATAGGAGTGAAAAGTATAGGAAAGGTAAGCAAATAACTACAATTGAATAAATAAACTACACTTTGAGACCTCCTTTGCCAGTAGCAAGATATAGTAATAGGTAATGTTTGCAAACATGATCCCTTGTATAAAGGTGTCAGTTTTGGTGCCAGATAAAAGGGTAAAAACCTATTACTATAAATAAACTAATCAATGTTTTATTTTACCAGGTAAGACCCACTGAGCTATTAATTATGTTTCAGAAGCGATATGGCCACAAATGATAGCTCAACAAAGTGGCTTATCAGCGTGTGAAAATTTATAGCAGCCAAAAACGCTAAATGTAGAACGTCAGCAAACGAACCTCAACAAGTAGCCAGATAACAAATAGACAAATATCCCCCCCACCACCCCACCCACCCTGGTATTCCAATAAGTGATGTCACCACGGTGCTCATGCCAGGCTAGGTGCACTTCAAGGCTATCATGTGCAGTGTCGAAGGCCCCGCTGGCAGGAGGTCATGGGACAGACCTTGGTGGGTTCATCGACTGCGATGACTTGACGAATGCTTATAACAACAACGTAAAACACACATACCCTTGTGAGTAGGAGGAGGGGGTATGTATAGACCTTCTAAAGTTGTTAAACATTTTACTCAGCAATTTGCCATATATTAAAAAGTAGGTGAACTGGTGCGGGATCCTATATACAGGTCTGGAATCGTGTCACTAGACAATTTACTGAGGATTAAACAGAGTAAACTGATGCAGGATCCTTAACACACACGTGGCACTCGTTCCTAGATCTACGTCATCTCCTCATCCCAGTAAGACACTAGAGCAGTGGTTCTTCTTAACCTGGGGTGCATGCACCCCCCTGGGGGTGCGAGATTCCCTTTCTGGGATTGCGAGACATGGCCAGATTTTTCTTTAAGGTAAATCATCAAAAACGCAAATGAAGCACGGGGAACGTAAGTTACAACTACTTTGTTTCATCAAACACGGTGTGTTTATGAACATTATAAAACATTGAAGACCAAAAGGGGTGCAAGGCTGCAGTAAATGTTAAGAACCACTGAGCTAGATATGGCAACAAGATCACTCGGTTGGCAGCACTGTACACACATACACACAGGCGCAAACACACGTTAAAAGAAAAAAAAGAAAGATCTTCCATATAGCAGCGGCAACACTCTCATACATAACGCAAACATTGAACAAAAATGCATAGTCTCATATCACCCACACATACATTTTGATCTCTAATGACCAAAATGACTAAGATCTCTCGTGTAGCCTACACAGGCTGTTGGGGCAAGTCTTGTAAGCGAGCACCTATCTTGCGCTAGCAAAGCAAACGAGGGGGTGGTGTGACCAGCGGAACGCCCTTCTATCTTTGTCTCCCCATTGGTGATGTTCACACCCCTTGTTCAGTACTCGATCTAGGGGAGGCCATACGCACACAAATACACACGTCCACTTACAAACAAAGACAAAGATCCCCCGTAAGTATGGTCGAATAATAACCCCGCTGACCAATACGTCACGAGGAGGCCATCATCTCGTAGGGGATTGATGGACTGTAAATTATTTTAGAGAAAAAAAGGTGGCACAAATATTTGAAGGGGGACCAAAAATCGAGAATTTTAGTTTTTTGTGGGAAACGAATATTCTTTCCTGGAAGAAATATTGTATAAGGGGAAAATACCATGCTGCTAAAACAAACCAAACAAACAAAATTCCCCGTTTAGCCTGAACAGACTGTAGGGGCAAGTGCTGTTAGCGAGCACTTATGAAGGCCTGAACGGTACACGAGGGGGTGGGTGGCCAGCACCACGCCTGACCGCCTTTGTCTCCCTAGTAGCGATGTTTACACACCGCACCAGGTACTCATTTGAGGCTGAGTCGACCTAGGGGAGGCCCAGGACCGGTTCAGATAATCGTCACCGGTGTTGGCCGTGAGCGGGAATTGAACTTGGGTGGTCGGGTTCATAGCGCAGTGTGCTAACCACTACACTACCCACTTACAAACGGACACACACACACACATGTACGTAAAAGCACAAGGGCAAACGAATAAGCAAACTGACCACTGTTTGGCTTTTGATAATTCGATATATTTCTGTCGGACGGTCTTGTCCCTGTCACCTGTCGCTCCATTCCCGCCATCTCCTACTCTCTTCGTCTCTCAGATCCTGAAGATCTTCGTGGACAACCTTTTCCCAATCGTGCTGCTCAAGCAGGCGACGTCAGTGCGCTGCCTGGACATGAGCACGTCGCGCAACAAGCTGGCCGTGGTGGACGAGCACAACGTGTGTCTCGTGTACGACCTGCGCACGCGCGAGCTGCTCTTCCAGGTGCCTGCCCTCTTGCGTGGCTGCGGCGGCGTCACCGCAACTACGTAGTGATGTGCCCAACGTTCGGCTCGCGCGTTACGGACCCGTCGCCCGTCACTGAATCACTCCGGACGCGCTGCCCGATCGCAGAAGCTAAACAGTATTGAGCCTGGGTGGTGCTTGGATTGGTTCCCATAATGTGTACAACTGGTGTTGTAGGCTGCTGCTGCTGCTACATCAACCCCCCCCCCCCCAATAAAACCCACGACAAATTTGAGTCACGGGTGATTTGTGGCTCTCTCACAATCGCTCTCTGCATCATCGTTGTTGGTAATGTTGACGTTTATCGTGCGCGTTTGCTGGCGTGCGCGTGCATGCACGTGCGCGCTTGCATCTGGCTGTGTGCACTTCCTTACCAGGAGCCGAATGCGAACAGCGTGGCGTGGAACACGCAGTGCGAGGACATGCTGTGCTTCTCGGGCGGCGGGCTGCTCAACATCAAGGCGAGCGACCTGCCCGTGCACCAGCAGAAGTTGCAGGGCTTCGTGGTCGGGTACAACGGCTCCAAGATCTTCTGCCTGCACGTCTTCTCAATGTCGGCCGTCGAGGTGCCGCAGGTAAGCCGGTGGCTTCTCTGACCCCGTGAGTGACGGACGATGGACGTGTCGAGGCTGCTTTGGGGGGCGCTGTGTCGACGGGGCAGAGAGGAGAAACAGAGACAGATTGCCAAAGCAAGAGCCGCGGAGATATGTGTAGAGGCACGTGGAGACGGACACAGACAGACATGGACGGATAACCGACTGGCACAGAGAAACAGATTTCGAGAGTTACAAGAAATACATTGAGAGGTACAGAGAGACACTGAGTTAGACACTTGATTTAGACACTGAGGTTTATAGCACTTTCATTCGTAGCAAACATGAGTGTAATCCCTGCCCACAACCAACGTCAGTGATGGATATCTGAACCAGTCCTGGGTGTCCCCTAGGTCGACCCCGCCTTCAATGAGAAGTTGGTGCAATAAGTAAACGGCAGCACTGGGGAGACAAAGGCGGCCAGGCGGTGATGCTGGTCACATAACCGCCTTATGCACTATGCTGGCATTTACAGGTGCTAGCTAATAGCACTTGCCCCCACATTCTATACAGCTATTGGGGGGGAGCTTTGTCATTTACTTTATGTGTGTGTGCGTGCGTGCATGCGTGGACAGTCGGCGCCCATGTACCAGTACCTGGAGCGCGGGTTGTACCAGCAGGCGTACCAGATCGCATGCCTCGGGGTCACGGAGACCGACTGGCGGCAGCTGGCGCTGGAAGCGCTCGAAGGGCTCGACTTTGACACGGCCAAGAAGGTGGCTCGGCAGGACGGCACCCCCAATTCCACTTATACCACCACCACTGCTTATATCACTTTTATTGAAAACTAATTTCTTTAGAACTGCTTCTTGTGTTTAGTTTGTTGTCCTTCCCCCACACCTCCGATTAGCATGGTTGGCTACGTACGGTGCACAATAATTTCAACGTCCGTACATACCACCATGATAGCCACACCACCGATACAGCCACGATCATCACTACTGCTACAACTACCACCACTGCAACCGCCGCTACAACTGCAACGACCATCGCTACAACCACCACCATTCTGTGATAATCACCACCACTGCAACCACAGTTGTGTGACACCTACTATGTGTGATACCCACCCCAGGCTTTTATCCGAGTGAGGGATCTCAGATACCTGGAGCTCATCTACAGCATAGAGGTGAGCGGTAGCACACGAGTTAGCACACTGCGCTATAAACCCGGACAACCTGAGTTTGAGTCCCGACAATGGCTAGCATCGGTCGCGAGTGATATCTGAACAGCTTTTGGGACCCCCTCCCCTTCTTCATCAACCTGGCCTGAGATTGCGGTGGCGTATGGTCGAATAATAAGCCCGCCGACCAATACGGCATGAGGAGGCCATCATGTGGTAATGGATTGATATCAGACTGTAAATTATTTTAGAGAAAAAAAGGTGGCGCAAATATTTGAAGTGGGACCAAAAATCCGGAATTTTAGTTTTTCTGTGGGAAATGAACATTCTTTCCTGGGACAAATATATTGGAGGGAAAACATACCAAGCTGACAAAACAAAACATAAATCCCCCGTATAGCCTTAATAGACTGTAGGGGCAAGTGCTGTTAGCGAGCACCTATGAAGGCCGGAACGGTACACTAGGGGGTGGGTGGCCAGCACCACGCCCGACTGCCTTTGTCTCCCTAGTGGCGATAATTACACACCACACCAGGTACTCATTTGAGGCTGAGTCGACCTAGGGAAGGCTCAGGACCGGTTCAGATAGTCATCACTGGTGTTGGCCGTGAGTGGGAATCAAACTCGGGCGATCAGGTTCGTAGCGCAGCGCGCTAACCGCTACACTACCACTCCCACACCATGTTATCCTCTGGGAAAATGAAAATAAAATAAAATTCAATGTTATTTTTTCATGTTTTGTGTCATAGTTAGGGACACTAACGCTGCACAAAAGTTACATTAGTCAGTAGCCCCTGATGATCTTGTAAATGTGCACAATTGGACGATTTAAATGTTTGTAAAGAAAAATGAACGGAGTTCACGATAGTCACATTTTGGATTAAACCCTCTGGTCACCCTTACTCCAGGGCCACTTACGCGGCCCTGCAGTGTAGTCCGACACCAGCGGCTTAGACCCCACTCGCACGTCGTGGGTGCTGCCCCCCCCGCCACCCCTCCAGGAGCGGCGGCGGCGTGGCGAGAGTGCCCAGGAGCTGTTCCTGGCGGATGTGCACGCCCACCGCGGACGCTTCCACGACGCCGCCAAACTCTACAAGCGTGCCGGCCACGAGAGCCGGGCTCTCACCATGTACTCCGACCTGCGCATGTTCGACTGCGCCAAGGTGCACACCGCACCCCCTCCCCGACCTGACCCTTGCGCATTGCCCCTTGACACGCCCAGGTGTGGACCTGGGAAGCTGTGCCATTTGGCGTGAAGTACCGGGGAGCGTACGAACGGCTGAGTCAGTAAGTGGCTAAACGAGAGAGTGAGTAAGTTTGAGCGAGCGAGAACATGAGCGAGGTTATTGATTGAATGAGCGAGAAAGGGAGCAAGTGAATGTGTGAGCTCTTGGCTGAGTGAATGAGGTGACCCAGTGAGCAATGAAATGCACGAGCGGTCAACTGAGCGAATGAGCGAGAAAGTAAATGTTTAAGCTAGTAAATGTGCAAGAGAGTGAGCGATAAATTCCACAGATGAGAAAGCGAGTGATTAACGGTGTGTGCAAGTGATCGACCGAGAAAGTGAGCGGATGAATACGAGGACGAAAGATTAATGAGCGAGTGAGTGAGCAAGTGAATGTGCGAGCGAGCAAGTGGAGTAGCAAGCGAGTCAACCTTTCAACGTCCTTTCCGCCACCCTCGCGCACCCAACGCAGGAGTTTGTGGCGTCGGGCGACCCCAAGGACACGCGGCTGCTCATGCGCAAGCAGGCGGACTGGGCGCAGGCGGTCAAGGACCCCCGCGCCGCTGCCGACATGTACCTGGCGGCCGGAGAGAATGTCAAGGCGATTGAAATCATCGGGCAGAACGGATGGGTTGACATGTGAGCCGCGACACGTGCACACGTTTTTACTGCCATGTCCACCAGCACTTCCTCTAATCGGAAAAATTGCTGGCAGTCTCGTCGATATTGTTGTGAGCGTCGGTAGCATCAGCATTATCATCGACATCACCACTCGCAGCTTCTGTAGCATCAGCGGTTTCCTTAATGTCAGCAGCAGCATCAGCAATTATTTACCGTTGTTAGCGTCTGCAACATCATTACGAACGTCGTCAACATCAGCAGTATCAGCCACATTGGCGTTATGAGCATTATCATAGCCACCACCATTTCATGATCATCAGCAGCATCTGAAATGCCAGCAGTATCACTATATGCATCAATAACTTCACCACAATCAGCATCCTTAGAATGTGCAACATCCATGTTATCTTTCGATTTAAAGCTTTCGTGACTGCAATGATTCATCTTCTTTGGTCCTTTCGGTAAAGTCACGTAGAATGAGAATAAAATAATAAATTGATAAAATAAAATAACACAATAATATTCTCACGACGTTTCGGCCACAACACAAGCGGCCTTCATTAGGTGAAGGGACGAGACTGTCTGGTAGGACAGCGCTGGAGTGAAAGAGCCACGTTCAGATCACGACCTTTAAGCTGTGTGAGAGGAAACAAAGCTATCTGTGGTGCTAAAGTTGAGGGCGCTTTGTTTCCTCTCACACAGCATAAAGGTCGTGATCTGAACGTGGCTCTTTCACTCCAGCGCTGTCCTATCAGACAGTCTCGTCCCTTCACCTGATGAAGGCCGCTTGTGTTGTGGCCGAAACGTCGTGAGAATATTATTGTGTTATTTTATTTTATCAATTTATTATTTTATTCTCATTCTACGTGACTTTACCGAAAGAACCAAAGAAGATCCATGTTATAATACTTATAACCACCACCACCTTTTGTATCTGTCTGCCTCTTCCTGTCTCTCTCTTACCCAAATCCTATACACCTTTCTCATTCTCTGGGTCTCTGCCTTATGTAACAGGTCTCTGTCTTGTTGCCGTTTCCATTCTGCACAAAGCTTGCATTGCTGAGATCTTGGGTTCAAATCCAAACAGCAGCCTGTAATTAAACTGGTATCTCCAGTGTAGTGAATTTCTCAGGCTCCCTTTTCTGTTGGCATAGCATGGTTGGCATGAGCCCAGGTGTAAGGAATTAAATGGGACGCCTCCTTTCCAATTGATAAATTTTTTTGTTTTAAGTGAACTGTATTGTATTGTTTTTTTTTTTTCCCCCCCTACGTCTGTGCCCCCACCTGCGTGCGTGCGCATGCAGGCTGGTGGAGGTGGCGCGCCGCATGGACAAGGCAGATCGCGAATCGCTGGCGCTGTGTGCCCAGCACCTGCAGAGGCTGGGCCAGCACGGCTACGCGGCCGAGGCCTACGGCAAGATGGGGGACTGGGCCGCCCTGCTGCGGCTGCACGTGGAGACACGACACTGGGACGAGGTGGGCCGCTCGTCACGCACCACGCCCTGCCCCCCACTCCCCGCACCCCCCTTCCACTCTCTCTCTCTCTGGCCCGCATCATCGCACACCAGGGCTATGCCCTCAGTCATAAAAATTATATTTTGCTTTGATTGAAAGCTTTCGTGACTGCAGTAAATTCATATTCTTAGCTCTTTCGGTAAAGTCACGTTGAAGGGAAACAATAAAATAATAAAAATATATATAATTTTATTGTTTATTATTTATTGTTTTATATATTTTTTATTATTTTATTGTTTCCCTTCAACGTGACTTTACCGAAAGAGCTAAGAATATAATTATATTTTCGTTTACAGGGCGCTTACTTAAATACCTTTGCATCTTAAAAGTGCCTTGCATCACATTTCATCTCAACCAATGGAAGGTTGACCCCCCCCCCATGACAGCTGTCTTTGTGCGGCAAAACGTGACTCAGCACCGGCCTGCAAAGTGGGGAGTCGTACACCAGTAGGGAGCAATGGTTGCTATGTTCAATCCAAATCGAGTAATTTTTCAAATTTGATCCATGACGGCAGCACACATGGCCTACACTTTTAGAATGTCACGGGATCTTTAACGTCTGCTGTTAAGCAGACGGTGTGCAGTTTATGGTTGATACACATGCAGTATTAACCAGGGTAGCCTTTGGGATATGAACCACGTACTTCTGCATCAAGGGGTGATAATGGGACGTCACCTTCATCTCTTCATCAACTCCCTCACTCGCTTCACCTATACAGTCCTTTGTCAATCAACTGCTGGATGAAGGCTTCTCTGCACAACGTCGATCATGGGGGCTGTTTGACCATACCGCACCATGCTGGTTGGTGCAGGTTGCCCACTGATGTGAGCCTTGACCAGGAATGGATTTCAGGTAGCTAGGTTCATAGCACTGCATCTGTAGTCACTCATTGTGTCTGTCCTTCTCTGCCTGACCCCTGTGGCGTAGCATGGCTGGTATGGCCCCTGGTGCAAGAAATGAAATTCAACCATCTGTCCCAATTTTTCCCTAGACCGGCACCAGGATCCCCACCGACTTTTTGCACCCCGGTGCGGTTGCACCGCCTGCACCCCCAATAACAACTGCTCTGTTGTCTGTCTCCGTCCCCGAACTGGCAGGCGTTCGCGCTGGCGGAGCGGCACCCCGAGTTGCGCGACGGGACGTTTGTGCCATACGCTCGCTGGCTCGCGGAGAACGACCGCTTTGAGGAGGCGCAGAAAGGCACGTCCTGCACCCTCCTCCATCGGTTTGCGTTGCAACGTCGGTTGTGTGGTGTCGCGATGTGGTGGCGATGTTATGCGATGCGGTGTTGGCGTTGTCATGGAATTTTGGTGCCGGTTGCGGTGATGTTATGCGGTAGTGAGGGTGATGTGATGCGGCGATGGTGTGGTGTGATGTGGTGGTGGCAGTGGTTGTGGTACGATGTGGCCGTGGTGTAATGCCGTTGACGTTGTGCTGTGTGACAGTACATTGGTGTGTGCACTCGCGACGCACGCGATAAATCGCGCGCTTGAGATTCTGTTATTTGCAGTTAACGCAAACAGCAATTACAGCACATCAAGGTCGCGGTTGTGGTCACCGTAATGTATGTATGTATGTTGAACTTATTTTGCACCGTACGTAACCCAACGATGCTAATGGAGAGGTGCGGTTGTGATTGTGGGCCGACAGCGTTCCACAAGGCGGGGCGGCGTGGGGAGGCGGTGCACGTGCTGGAGACGCTGACGCACAACGCAGTCGCCGAGAGTCGCAGCAACGATGCGGCGTACTACTACTGGATGCTGTCGACACAGTGCCTGGACATCGCCGGCAGTGCGGCGCACACGCACGACACACGCACGACACACGCACGGCACACGCACGGCACACGCACGGCACACGCATGGCACACGCATGCACGGCACCCACACAGCACACACACAGCACACACACACGGCGCACGCATGCATAGCACCCACACGGCACACACATGGTGCACGCATGCACGGCACACAAATGGTACACACATGGCACACGCATGCACGGCACCCACACAGCACACACACACACGGCGCACGCATGCATGGCACCCACACGGCACACACATGGTGCACTAATGAACGGTACCGACACGGCACATACGTGGCGCACGCATGCACGGCACACACACAGCGAGCACATGCACGTTACACACGGCACACGCGGTTTTAGGGCACACGCACACGCATATGGAGCATGCATGTGGTACACACAGGGAACAGATACAGGACGCAGACACACACACACATTGCACACACACACAGCACACGTGGCTCACAAACACAGCACACAATGCAGACAAAGATCAGAGTTGGCTGGACACACTTGTACCTCTACCCCGACCTCACATCTGGCCAATTGGCCGCTGCTCGCCAGGTGACACGGCGCAGGCGGAGGAGATGCTGAAGAAATTTGAGCAGTTCCAGCACCTGGCTGAGCTGTACTACGCCTACCACTCCATCCAGCGCTACACCGTGCGTCCCACACACACCTCCGTGCACTAGGGTAGCTGCGATTTAATTTATCCCAATATGACAACAAATATCACGGTGGCGTGTCGCGGTGGCGAGATGTTAACTACCTTGCCTGGTATCCAGGAGGGGGTGGATTCGATCCCGACCCTGACGCCTGTATATTTGGGCCTGTGCTTATCAACCGTGATAAATATTCTTTTTTTATTTACAACCTTTGAAACTGGTATCGGACAACTCACAACACAAAGGCTATAGGTGCTATTGTACAATACAAGAGCTGTTTGTTTCGTGGGTTGAGTGTTTACGGGGAGTGGCGTTAACGCTTCCTGCGCCTGTTGGTTGTGCTAGGATGAACCGTTCACATCTCACCTTCCCGAGTCGATCTTCAACATCGCGCGCTTCCTCCTGCACAGCCTGGGGCGAGACAGCCCACCGGGGATATCCAAAGTGTGAGTGCTCGGTCCACACTCATTATTTCACTCACTCAACCATCCCTTCTTTCATTCATTTAAATGGATGACTATAGCAGCGGTCCCCAACCTTTTTGGCACCAGGGACCGGTTTCGTGGAAGACAATTTTCTTACGGACCCGGGGGGGTGGGGGGGTTCATCATTGGGTCTTTCCCCCTTTTCAAAGAAGCTCTCCAGCGACGTTTATTTGTTACTCATTGTGGCTACTAGGGGTTAGAGCTTGTGGGCTTACTCATTGTGGCTACTAGGGGTTAGAGCTTGTGGGCTTACTCATTGTGGCTACTAGGGGTTAGAGCTTGTGGGCTTACTCATTGTGGCTACTAGGGGTTAGAGCTTGTGGGCTTACTCATTGTGGCTACTAGGGGTTAGAGCTTGTGGGCTTACTCATTGTGACTACTAGGGGTTAGAGCTTGTGGGCTTACTCATTGTGGCTACTAGGGGTTAGAGCTTGTGGGCTTACTCATTGTGGCTACTAGGGGTTAGAGCTTGTGGGCTTACCAACACTGTGACTGAGACAAGTGCGCAGTGCGGGAAAGAGGCGCGGACGGAAGTGATAAGTAAAATAATGGGCGGGCCACGCGCGGACTCAACGCTCACCTCCTGCTGTGCGGCCCGGGGGTTGGGGACCCCTGCTGTATAGGATTATCGCTGAAATGAAACACCAGTTGTTAGCAGCTTCACACAAACCTTGAGAAAATATGTTTTGGCAGTGGAGAAGATACAAAGACTGTGAATACCTTACCAGAACAGTGAACAACCAAAAAGTTTGGAATGGAACGTGGCATGAAGAGGTAAAAGCAATCGTGAACAGACGTTTTAATTGGTGGGACGTCTGCAGGATGGAGGGGGGCAGGTTACCGAGGACAGGCAGTGGAGTGGCACCCATACAGTGAGGGAAAAAGTATTTGATCCCCTGCTGATTTTCTACGTTTGCCCACTGACAAAGAAATGATCAGTTTATAATTTTAATGGTAGGTTTATTTGAACAGTGAGAGACAGAATAACAACAACAAAATCCAGAAAAACGCATGTCAAAAATGTTATAAATTGATTTGCATTTTAATGAGGGAAATAAGTATTTGACCCCCACTCAGTCAAAAAGATTTCTGGCTCACAGGTTTCTTTTATACAGGTAACAAGCTGAGATTAGGAGTACACTCTTAAAGGGAGTGCTCCTAATCTCAGCTTGTTACCTGTATAAAAGACACCTGTCCACAGAAGCAATCAATCAGATTCCAAACTCTCCACCATGGCCAAGACCAAAGAGCTCTCCAAGGATGTCAGGGACAAGATTGTAGACCTACACAAGGCTGGAATGGGCTACAAGACCATTGCCAAGCAGCTTGGTGAGAAGGTGACAACAGTTGGTGCGATTATTCGCAAATGGAAGAAACACAAAAGAACTGTCAATCTCCCTCGGCCTGGGGCTCCATGCAAGATCTCACCTCGTGGAGTTGCAATGATCATGAGAACGGTGAGGAATCAGCCCAGAACTACACGGGATGATCTTGTCAATGATCTCAAGGCAGCTGGGACCATAGTCACCAAGAAAACAATTGGTAACACACTACGCCGTGAAGGACTGAAATCCTGCAGCGCCCGCAAGGTTCCCCTGCTCAAGAAAGCACATACATGCCCGTCTGAAGTATGCCAATGAACATCTGAATGATTCAGAGGACAACTGCGTGAAAATGTTGTGGTCAGATGAGATCAAAATGGAGCTCTTTGGCATCAACTCAACTCGCCGTGTTTGGAGGAGGAATGCTGCCTATGACCCCAAGAACACCATCCCCACCGTCAAACTTGGAGGTGGAAACATTATGCTTTGGGGGTGTTTTTCTGCTAAGGGGACAAGACAACTTCACCGCATCAAAGGGACGATGGACAGGGCCATGTACCGTCACATCTTGGGTGAGAACCTCCTTCCCTCAGCCAGGGCATTGAAAATGGGTCGTGGATGGGTATTCCAGCATGACAATGACCCAAAACACATGGCCAAGGCAACAAAGGAGTGGCTCAAGAAGAAGCACATTAAGGTCCTGGAGTGGCCTAGCCAGTCTCCAGACCTTAATCCCATAGAAAATCTGTGGAGGGAGCTGAAGGATCGAGTTGCCAAACGTCAGCCTCGAAACCTTAATGACTTGGAGAAGATCTGCAAAGAGGAGTGGGACAAAATCCCTCCTGAGATGTGTCCAAACCTGGTGGCCAACTACAAGAAACGTCTGACCTCTGTGATTGCCAACAAGGGTTTTGCCACCAAGTATTAAGTCATGTTTTGCAGAGGGGTCAAGTACTTATTTCCCTCATTAAAATGCAAATCAATTTATAACATTTTCGAGATGTGTTTTTCTGGATTTTTTTGTTGTTATTCTGTCTCTCACTGTTCAAATAAACCTGCCATTGAAATTATAGACTGATAATTTCTTTGTCAGTGGGCAAACGTACATAATCAGCAGGGGATCAAATACTTTTTCCCTCACTGTAGGTGGGAAACCAGGGGAAAAGACAAAATGCCGGAGACTGTAGTGGTGAGACTTTAAAAACAGAGACCGAGGAGGCCGGGCGTGTTGACCTCGCCACCGTGTGTGGTGATGATGACAATGATGATTGCTATGAACACAACGATGATGTTAACCATCTTAAGGATGATGCTAACGATGGCAATGATGAATAAGATGATGATGACGACACCACCAACCCTTGCCTCCATTGCACTGGATCACAGGCGTGCTCTACCACCACGAAGGCACTGACAAACGTGGGGCCTGACTCCGCTGTCCCCGCAGGAACACTCTGTATGCCCTGGCCAAACAGAGCCGCGCGCTGGGCGCCTACAAGCTGGCTCGCCACTGCTTTGAGCGTCTGCTGGCGCTGCGGGTGCCGCCCCGGCTGCAGGAGGCCGTGATGCTGGGCAGCATCACCATTCGCTCAAAGCCCTTCCAGGACAGCGAGGTGTCTCGTGCGTTGGCGTTTTGGGGGAGGGTCAGGGAGGGAAAGGGGCAGTATTTGTGGGGCTGTGGTGCCAACGGAAAGCCTGATCCCCCATTCTCCCCACACAACCACCCCCCCCCCCCACACTGCACCCCCCTACACACTCCGCCATACCCGTGTTGGGATGTCTTGAGGGTGTATGGGGGAATGCCTTTCGATCACCCGGAATGTGGTTGATCTCATCGTATCCCGGAAGCTCAGGGTTGTGAGCCTGGACAGTGCTTGGATGAGTGACCACCATGCATATGCAGGTGTTATTGGCTGCTGCAGGTGTTTGCAACCATGCCCACTGAACCACGTGCTAAGGTGCCATCCATTTAGTACGTACGCTTGTTGCACCCCCCCCCCCCCCCGCCGAATCCTATAGAACGGCCAATATTTAATCCACGCAGAAACGATCAACGATTAATCATATTAACGTGTTTAAGCAGACAGATAGTCCACTGCATGACTATCTAACTCATTTGAAGGCCAATGTAGACAAATTATTATCGAGGCTTCACCCCCCACACCCCCCCCCCCCCCGTTTCCTATGGGTACTTACATTGTCAGTAGACCCTCCATACACAAGCGTACGCATTTGGGTTAATCACCCCCTCCCCCCTCCATGCGTACGTACTAAATGGATGGCCCCTAATCCCACGGCGCATAGGCCCTGCCCACTGCTACTGCCATCCGAGTTCCAAATTTTGATTTTTCACAAGGGCTTTGGGACACTGGGAAAAAAACCAGGACGTTTCGTACCTTCGGACGGGAGAGCCGTACCCGACGTCCAGTGGACGCGAGAGGGGTAAAGTGCTAGGCAGGACAAATGGGGACACGCGAGACACTGTCTAGGGGAACAGAGGAAAAACACTTGCATGGACAGGGATGTGACAATGGATGGATAAATAAATAACTGTGAGATATCTGGTGGGGTGTTTTTTTTTTTTTTTTCCCGACGACAGGAGCTGATTCCTATGTGCTATCGTTGCTCCACCAACAACCCCTTGCTCGGCGGACGTGGAAACGCGTGCGTCAACTGCCGCCAGCCGTTCGTCTACTCCTTCTCATCTTTCGGTGGGGGGGGGGGGGGGGGCACAGCCTTGCTGTTGGCCAGCCGTTGACCAAAGATGGTCGCCGCGTCGCGCGCGCGCGCGCTTACAGATGCGCTTCTGCGGCCGTCTGGAACGCTCCTTCCGATGTTAGGAAGCCACCATGAAGCTATGCACTTAGATCATCTTAGATTGTAAACTGATTTCTTTAGAACTGCTCTTTGTTTTTTTTTTTTTTATTTAAAGCTTTCGTGACTGCAGGGATTCATATTCTTGGTTCTTTCGGTAAAGTCCACGTAGAAGGGAAACAATAAAATAATAAAAAATACAAAACATTATTGTTTTATATTTGTATTATTGTATTCTATTTTTATTATTTTATTGTTTCCCTTCTACGTGACTTTCCTGAAAGAACCAAGAATATAACTGCTCTTTGTGTTTAGTTTGTTGTCCTTCCCCCGCACCCCTGATTAGCACGGTTGGCTACATGCGGTGTGAAAGAATTTCAACATGCATACATGCTAGGGCAGGTTTTGGCAACCTGGGGCTCCGGAGCCACATGCGGTTCTTTAAGGACTGCTTGGTGATGTTATTTACATCCAACGCGGCTCTTGAAAAACATTTTTTTGCCGAATTCGAATTTTTTTTCTCTTTTTGTTGTTGGTTGCTGACCCCTGGTAGGGAGTCAGAGTTATCAGGGGGGTCAGGGTCAGGCTGATTGTTCGGGTCAGGGTTACGTTTAGGATCAGGGTCATGGTTTGGTTTAGAATTAGGATCAGGGGTAGGATTAGGGGATTAGACCTACCCCGGATCCTTGTAGCCACTCTGACCGGAGCCGTCCGCCCGCCCCTCCCCCTCCGCGTCCTGCCCATGTCGTGACTGAAGAGGTGTTGCCCCTGGTGGGATTCTCCCTGGAGGACGGAGTGGGCGATGAGGAGGCCTTGTCGCTCATCAACCTGGAGGGGCCTCCCGCCAGCGCCGGGCAGCGTGGGGACACGCGGTGGCGCGAATCGCGAGCCGGAAGTGCGTGGGACGTCTGGCATCGTACCACCGGCAGTGCCACCGCCATCATCCTCATCACACCACAGTCAAAGCCAACGTCGGTCTTACCGTTACCACAATAATCACCGTCATCACCATCAAGGGCAATGTCACTGCCATCGTCAAGGCAAACATTACCGCTACCATTTTCACCGTCACTGTCAAAGCGAATGACACTGCCGCCATTTTCACTGTCGCCAATACCATTGCCACCATCAGAAAACAACGCCACCACCAATATCACCATCACTGACACCATCAAAGCCAACGTCATGGTTACCATTACCACCACTTACCTCCGTCACCTCTACCAACGCCGTAACTATTTAATCACCGCTGCTGCCTTCACCACCACAACCGTCACCATCGTCACCACCGCCACCAGCAGCACTACTTGCATGTCATTTGTTTTACTTGAACTATTTTTTGCTTTAGCAGGTTAGGCCCACTGAACTATATAGCTCTTTTTAAGAAGCGACCTGGCCACAAAAAGATAGCTCAACGAAGGGACTTATCATGTGGAAATGTATAGCAGCCAAATGCTCACTCTAAACGCATGTTCCTAAATGTGGATGGAAATACCGGAGGACCCGGAGAAAAATCCACGTGACTACAGGGAAAACATGGAAACTACATACATACAGGTGTCGGGGTCGGGATCAAACCAACGACCTCCTGTACTAATCCGTCCATCTCTCTCAATCCATACCTTTCCCTCAATCCACCTCCCCCCTTGTGCTTTTTTTAATCTCTCCTCCACTGCCCCTTGATGTGCGTTGGTCAGAGGCGGACATGATGGTCATGGAAAATAGCGAGGAGGCCGGGGGGGAGGCTAACGACCCCTTCGCTGCTCGACTCAGCTTCGAGGTCAGTCGGCTACGCAGAACCCACACACAGCACGCAAGCATACTCGTAACACACTTAAACATAGATTTGTTGCAGGCTATAGTAATGCAGTGTACAAAAAACAATTGTTGTACCGTACTTCTACGCTTACACGTCTGTGTGGCATCCCGCTCCGACCAGTGTGATGATGTATGGTCATATAACCCCCAAGACTTGCACAGCACGGGATGACCTTCATCCAGCAGTGGATTCACGCAGAAACCTATAGACTTACATAAGACTCGGGCTTAAGGTCAGCTGATGACCCAGAATATATTCCTGTGCCCGGCACACCACGTCCAGTATATATTATATTGCGCTATGGCTGTGGCTGCTACTCGTCACTTGCCACCTACTCCAGTCTACCAGCGACCCGGGAAATATTCAGTGAGAAATGAAGCCCTGGCTATTGCCGTCATTGCCCTCTTTGTTCTCGTTGTTTACGGCAGGACGGCGCCGAGTTCGTGCCGGTGGTGCTGAACCGCGCGGCACTGCGCTCGCTCAGCCGGCGCCAGGTGCTGGTGAAGCGCTGGCCCTCGCCGCTGCGCTGGCAGTTCTACCGCTCGCTCATGCCCGACGTCCCCATCACCGTGTGCTCCTCCTGCTTCCAGGTCGGGGCGCCGCGATTTACTCGCGTGTTTTGACTGCGGTGCGGTTATATCTACGGTCGCTTTTTTTTTGCCGGTATCAAAGTGTAATGACAGGGTGACACCTGCTGGCCTGGGAAGGGACTCACGGGTACGGGCACGGAAGTAACAACCAATCAGAGAAGGTGGCGTATCTGGGGCAAAGGTAGCAGGTGGGGTTAGCCGAGATACTCCAGGAACCTGCTCGAAGGTTCCACGAGAGGGCGTGGCCGGAGGCGGGGCCTAGCCACGCCTCTGGCCACGCCCTCTCGTGTAACCTGCTCGAAGGTTCCACGAGAGGGCGTGGCCGGAGGCGGGGCCTAGCCACGCCTGGGGGGATATAAGGGGGAGCGGACCCGGAGCTCGGGGGCTCGCGTGTGGGGTCCTGGGTCCAGGCTGCGTCGCTGCTCACCGAAATCTCTCTCCGTCGTCCGGCCACGTGGAAGATCCCCTGCGTGGTTTCCATCGCCGTCATCGTCACGCCGCCAGCCAGCGGCGTAGCCGAGTGAGGGCGATGGGACCACGCCGATGGATCGGCTGTGTGTGTGGCCAGTAGAGACGTTAATACCTAGAGTTATACTCAGTGTGCGGAAGAACAAGTGTTGGCCTGTGTTGTGCCCAGTGTGAGTAAATAAAGAAGACATACCCTCTGCACGACGTGTCGCGGGAGTCGCTCATTACAAAAGTATGAAGAATGAGAATAGGTTTTTACCCTTTCTGGCAATAAAACAGGTGTTGAGGTGTTCAAACACCACGTAAATATTTTTTTTTGCAAGGCATCAAGTCTGCATTAACCACATGTACTTCTGCTTAAACATGCTCTGATAATAATATGTGGCATTGTATTTGAAACTGATTGGCCTATACCAGACACAGCCTTCTTTATGGCTTTGTTTCACCAGTGTCAGACCAGAGAATGCCAAAATGCGAACAGTACAAAGACTATGCAAGTATCAGAACACTTATAGCTCAGGTTGAGCAGTTATATCTATGGGACCTTTTTTTGCCAGTGTCAGGAACAATCTACATTTCCATTATTGAAAAGCCCAACACTAATTACCATGCGACAAATCTGCATAACATGTTCATAAAATGTATATATATTTTATGCAAAACAGCAAACCTTGAGTTGATAAGCATGGTGCTTCTCCTTTAAACGTCCAACGACGGTTATGCTGGCAATGATGACGATGATGAGGATAACTATCCTGGCAATGCCGAAGTTGAATATAATCATCCTGGAAATGATGCTGGCAGTGATGCTGGAAACGACGTGACGGCAACGATAATAACGACGGTGATGACGACGGTGAGGATGTTTCGCCCCTTCTCGCCCCGCAGATGTTCCACAGCGAGGACTACGAGCTGCTCGTCCTGCAGCACAACCGCTGCCCCTACTGCCGGCGCCCCATCGAGGAGATGGCGCAGTGAACGGGCTGCTGCTGCTGCTGCTGCCGCAGCTCCACTGAGACTCAGCGGGCGCATAATGGCCACGTCCGAGCAACCGAGCCGGTGCCACTTAGACCCTGGGCTCAATCTTTTAATGCGCGGTGTTTAGGCATGTCGCGATTCAATTACTCGATTTGACAATTTATTTTTACACGCGGTCACGAGCGTGTCAAATCGAGCTTGTGAGATTGACTTGTCATGCAATGCAAATGATATGCAAATTGCGCAGAAGTGGAGAATCTATGGGCTCGTGGTGGCCGCATGAGACCTACCGCTTAGGTACGGCCCACGACCCATATTATCTAGCCGCACTAAGCGAGTAATGAAAGGGAATAATTTTTACCCTGGCGACGACACTGTAATTTTATCGTGCTCAGCCACTTGCATCACTACAGGGGGGGGGCTCTTGCAGGGACAGAAGCAGCTGAGGCGTGCGTTGATGTAGCCGATGGATGTAAATAGACAACAAACGCAAACAAGAAACAACATTGACACTTGAATCGAATCATGAACGTAAATTGTGGCAAACATTACACGCCTACCAAGTGTCTCTCTTCCTCTTGTCATCATAAGCTCTTGTCATCGTACCACATCTCTCTTAAATTTTTATTTAAAGCTTTCGTGACTGCAGTAATTCATATTCTTAATAATATATATAAAACATATATAGTTTATTGTTTCCCTTCAACGTGACTTTACCGAAAGAGCCAAGAATACACATCTCTCTTGTGCACATTTTTTCTCACCTCACTGCATCTCTATCTCTCACCTAAGGCTCTTCTGTCGTCATGGTGGTGGTGGTGGTCCACCTCCCAGCCCCAAAACAACTTATGGTTATGGCCTCCAATGGACGAGCATCGGCCATTGGCTGAGTAGACCAAAAACACAAGAACACTTAGGTTCATACAGAGGTTGTGCTTTTGCCATGCACTTTGAGGGACAATTGCTGAAAGGTTGGATGCGATTTTTTAAAAGGACAACGTGATCACTGTGTTTCTGGCTTAGGGCAGAGGAGATGATTAAACACACACATTCCTTCACATTCCCCAGTCTTGGGACGTTTCATAAAATTGTATTTAAACCATGAAAGCAGATGTGTTTATAAATAAAGTGCTTATGATTTGTAAAAAAAAAATATTTGAGTGTCAAATTGTACAGGTCTTTCTCAATCCACTGCTGGATGAAGGCCTCTCCATGTGTTGTTCATAGGGGAGCTTTTTGACCATACTTCACCATGCTGGTCAGTGCTGGTTAGCTAACGTGGCACCCAGGACTTATTTAGATATAACTTGCCGCTGATGTTAGCCGTCGCCGGAATTGGAGATTCATTTACACATGTCGATGGGCAGATAGACCAGAGGTAGCCACACAGCGAGACAAGGATTTGCATACAGAATCAGAATCAGAAAGGGGGGTTTTATTCGCCATGAAAGTTCGCACAGACAAGGAATTTACTTTGGCAGGAAGGTGCATACATTCAACATATAGTAAACTTAAATATAAAATAAGTGGTATACAAGTCTAAACTATACTAAAGGTACAAAGTCTAACTAACACTAAGGGGCTAAAGTATGTAAAATTTTGAATAAATATTGAATATAAAGTAGCTATAAGATACAATCTAAAAAAACAAATAGGGTAGCAGTGTAAATATGGCAAGGTGTCATTTTGTAGATAAAATGTTAAAGTCAGTGTAAGCCCTTAGCCTTGTTGAGGAGGCCAGCAGTGGATGGGAAGAAACTATGCATCGAGATATCACCTCGACCAGGGGTCAGCAACCTGTCTCCGGAGCCGCATGCAGCTCTTTAAGGACTGCTTTGTGACGATATCTATTTTAAAGACCACCGTCTCGTATTCACATTGCATTGCAGCTTAATGAAATAGAGTTTTTTAACGAATTCGAAAAAAGTGGCGTTTCTTATTAGTTTGGTTGTCGACCCCTGATCTAGACAGATGGCTAGGCAAAGAAATAGACACAGAGGCAGCCGGAGCGAGTTATCGACATCTCTACAGACAGATGCGACTGTGGCCGTGCCCTTGACAGGTGTAGGAAAGTGTGTACCGGGCAGGATCAGGATTATCGACTCGCAGGTGTGAGAGGGAATATCGCGCTAATCCGCTGAGGCTCTTAGTGCCGCATTACTCCACAAGTAGCATCGGGGTCACATTGCAACCCACACCTGTCATCTACTGGGTTACATTGCAACCCAAATCTGGCTATTTGGTCACATTGCAACCCACACCTATCGTCTATTGGGTCACATTACAACCCACACCAGTCTATTGGGTCACATTACAACCCACCCCTGTCTATTGAGTCACATTACAACCCACACCTGTCTATTGAGTCACATTACAACCCACACCTGTCTATTGGGTCACATTACAACCCACACCTGTCTATTGGGTCACATTACAACCCACACCTGTCTATTGAGTCACATTACAACCCACACCTGTCTATTGAGTCACATTACAACCCACACCTGTCTATTGGGTCACATTACAACCCACACCTGTCTATTGAGTCACATTACAACCCACACCTGTCTATTGGGTCACATTACAACCCACACCTGTCTATTGGGTCACATTACAACCCACACCTGTCTATTGGGTCACATTACAACCCACACCTGTCTATTGAGTCACATTACAACCCACACCTGTCTATTGGGTCACATTACAACCCACACCTGTCTATTGAGTCACATTACAACCCACACCAGTCTATTGAGTCACATTACAACCCACACCTGTCTATTGGGTCACATTACAACCCACACCTGTCTATTGAGTCACATTACAACCCACACCTGTCTATTGAGTCACATTACAACCCACACCTGTCTATTGAGTCACATTACAACCCACACCTGTCTATTGAGTCACATTACAACCCACCCCTGTCTATTGAGTCACATTACAACCCACACTTGTCGTCTATTGAGTCACATTATAACCCACACCTGTCTATTAAGTCACATTACAACCCACATCTGTCTATTGAGTCACATTACAACCCACACCTGTCTATTGGGTCACATTACAACCCACACTTGTCTATTGAGTCACATTACAACCCACACCTGTCTATTGAGTCACATTACAACCCACACCTGTCTATTGAGTCACATTACAACCCACACCTGTCTATTAAGTCACATTACAACCCACATCTGTCTATTGAGTCACATTACAACCCACACCTGTCTATTGGGTCACATTACAACCCACACTTGTCTATTGAGTCACATTACAACCCACACCTGTCTATTGAGTCACATTACAACCCACACTTGTCGTCTATTGAGTCACATTACAACCCACATCTGTCTATTGAGTCACATTACAACCCACACCTGTCTATTGGGTCACATTACAACCCACACTTGTCTATTGAGTCACATTACAACCCACACTTGTCTATTGGGTCACATTACAACCCACACCTGTCTATTGAGTCACATTACAACCCACACCTGTCTATTGAGTCACATTACAACCCAACCCTGTCTATTGAGTCACATTACAACCCACACCTGTCTATTGAGTCACATTACAACCCACACTTGTCTATTGAGTCACATTACAACCCACACCTGTCTATTGAGTCACATTACAACCCACATCTGTCTATTGAGTCACATTACAACCCACACCAGTCTATTGAGTCACATTACAACCCACACCAGTCTATTGAGTCACATTACAACCCACACTTGTCTCTTGGGTCACATTACAACCCACACCAGTCTATTGAGTCACAATGCAACCCACACCTGTCTATTGAGTCACATTACAACCCACACCTGTCTATTGGGTCACATTACAACCCACACCTGTCTATTGGGTCACATTACAACCCACACCTGTCTATTGAGTCACATTACAACCCACACCTATCTATTGAGTCACATTACAACCCACACCTGTCTATTGAGTCACATTACAACCCACACTTGTCTATTGAGTCACATTACAACCCACACCTGTCTATTGAGTCACAATGCAACCCACACCTGTCTATTGAGTCACATTACAACCCACACCTATCTATTGAGTCACATTACAACCCACACCTGTCTATTGAGTCACATTACAACCCACACCAGTCTATTGGGTCACATTATAACCCACACGTGTCTATTGAGTCACATTACAACCCACACCTGTCTATTGAGTCACATTACAACCCACACCTATCTATTGAGTCACATTACAACCCACACCTGTCTATTGAGTCACATTACAACCCACACTTGTCTATTGAGTCACATTACAACCCACACCTGTCTAGTGAGTCACATTACAACCCACACCTGTCTATTGAGTCACATTACAACCCACACCTGTCTCTTGGGTCACATTACAACCCACACCTGTCTATTGAGTCACATTACAACCCACACCTGTCTATTGAGTCACATTACAACCCACACCTGTCTATTGAGTCACATTACAACCCACACTTGTCTATTGAGTCACATTACAACCCACACCTGTCTATTGAGTCACAATGCAACCCACACCTGTCTATTGAGTCACATTACAACCCACACCTGTCTATTGAGTCACATTACAACCCACACTTGTCTATTGAGTCACATTACAACCCACACCTGTCTATTGAGTCACAATGCAACCCACACTTGTCTATTGAGTCACATTACAACCCACACCTGTCTATTAAGTCACATTACAACCCACACTTGTCTATTGAGTCACATTACAACCCACACTTGTCTCTTGAGTCACATTACAACCCACACTTGTCTATTGAGTCACATTACAACCCACACCTGTCTATTGAGTCACATTACAACCCACACCTGTCTATTGAGTCACATTACAACCCACACCTGTCTATTGAGTCACATTACAACCCACACCAGTCTATTGGGTCACATTACAACCCACACCTGTCTATTGAGTCACATTACAACCCACACTTGTCTATTGAGTCACATTACAACCCACACTTGTCTATTGGGTCACATTACAACCCACACCTGTCTATTGAGTCACATTACAACCCACACTTGTCTATTGAGTCACATTACAACCCACACTTGTCTATTGGGTCACATTACAACCCACACCTGTCTATTGAGTCACATTACAACCCACACCTGTCTATTGGGTCACATTACAACCCACACCTGTCTATTGAGTCACAATGCAACCCACACCTGTCTATTGGGTCACATTACAACCCACACCTGTCTATTGAGTCACATTACAACCCACACCTGTCTATTGAGTCACATTACAACCCACACCTGTCTATTGGGTCACATTACAACCCACACTTGTCGTCTATTGCGGTCGCTGCGATATCATTTTTCGCGGTTTGTAATTGTACTGCACACGTTTAATCGTCTTGGGTTTTTGTACTTTCACTTGCTACCGAGTAGGAATATATTTCCTAAACCAGTGCTTCTTTACCTGGGGTGCGGGATGCCCTTTAGGGGGTGCGGGGCATGACCAGATGTTTTTTAGTAGGTAACACATCTAAAGAAATTAAACACGGGCACGTAATTACAACTTACTTTGTTTCATCAAACCTATGTATTTATTAACATACATTTTTAAACGATTGAAAAACCAAAGAATGTACAATGCTGCAATAAAGGTTTAAGAACCACTGGCTTCAACGTTATTCGACTGCAGTCCAATCAAAATGAGCCTTCCCATGTGTCTTCTCACCAACGCAGTTGCACACTGTAATGTGTATTACTTCGCACGAAGGTTGCTAAAAGATATGTAGTGCGATTACTAGTAAAAAAAACGGATACAAGTTGGCTGTACACAAAAAATTATTGCTAAATTTGGTTGCGAGAACTGTCCATCAGCTTAAACGCTTGCACGCGTGACGATTTAAGTTGTTCGGGTGGTGAAGGGTCTTGACGACACACATCTGGCCAGTTAATTACGTGGCCTCACTTTTATAAAAACTGAACCACAGTAATATTGGCTGTGGAAAAACGACGTGTTAAGTTCACACTAATATGACCTGATCCCGAGATACCACTTTAGCCAACACCTATTAAACACTAAACTACAGTATAAACTACTTTATGCTTATTTTACCAGGTAAGGCCCACTGAGCTATACAGCTCTTTTTCAGAAGCG